CGATGCCGAAGCCCCCGACGGACCCTAATTATTACGTGACTACTGCTTAGCTATAACTAAAGAATGTAGATTGCTTACCAGGGTTATACGTTTTCTCATCATTCTTCTTCATAATAACCTCCCTCAGAAATTCAATAACTACCTTGTCAAAATGATTCATAACCTTCTGATCGGCCCACGCCCTCTTTGCGGATTCTAATAACCTATTCCAGTTATAATACAATGCTCCTAAACTTCGCTCTCGGTGGCCATTTTCAAATAGCTTCATCCGAACAGTATTCCAATACTGCTTTGGATTGTCTGGTTTGAACACCTCATTGCCTGTAGTTACTACCGTACTGATTAGATCAAGTTGCTCCTTGTCAGACCAAGGGGTACTTTCAGCAGCTTCTTGATCTTCTTCTATTCTGTTGGGGTCTAAGGGCGGGAGTGCCAGTTTCTGTTTTTTGTCTTTTTTCGCTTTTGCTATTGAATGAAACCCTTTCTTTCTTTTTTTATTTTCTGGTGAAGGAGTTTTTGGAATTTTAGGATCCGCATCTTCTTGTTTAGTATGGAATTTAGCTTCTGCTAGTTTGTTCATTTTTTTTGCTTCTTTTACGGTATGCAACAGTTTGATCAACCTAAGGAAAACAGAGGTAATGAGATGTTTTCGTAAGCCGCAGAAAACATTTCAAGACTAATAGGATGAATGAAATGTTGATAGATTGAGTTGGCTAGATTTTATTTGCCGAATACGTTATCTACGACTTTCGGTCAAGGTTTTTATGAATAATATAGTTTAGCCTATTTATATTCCGCATTTTTACTTGTAAGTATATACTTGACTTTTTCCACAACCTCAAAACGAGGCTTAGCCGTGGCTTTCGCTAAGAGTGCAAAAACAACGTAACTGAAGTGGAAATGCATCGGCTTGCTTTTTGTGAGCGCAGTGCCTAAGTGAGTCACCGAGAATAATTTTTGCTCGTAAATACCTGTTCATTTCCGTATCCAGTGGAGTCACGAACAAAGAATTATTATTCTCATGTAGATGTGCATCCATTCGAATCTTCCTCCACACTTTATCGAGTTCTTTAAGACTGTACATGCTGTATTCTGATTCGTGCAGTCTTTTTAAAATGGTTTTCCATGGATTAGAAATATTTTCATCATTCTTCAACATTGTTCCAAATTCTAATTTCACAGCTTTGAAAAATGCATTCTTTTCGGATTCAGTCCAAGCTTTCACGCTTGAGCTTGCTGGCGGAGTTACTTTTGAATCACTAGAAATAACAAATTACGATATGGCATCAAGAATATGCAATTTAGGTTAAGTTTATGTAATGGGGTAAGCTAGACAATATTATTGCAAAATCAGTTATATATAAAAGAACTCTCCAATTAAAGGTTCGATTTAGGATTACAATAAAAAAAGAGAATGGAACGTACAGGGTGGCCCCAACTAAGAATGCGGGGTATTGAATCTGGCAACAGATCCATCGTAGAGGCTTGCGGCAAAAAAGTTCTTACACAAACGGTCAAGTTCCGCTATATTTACTTGACAAAAAAATATCTGACCTTTAAAGTCGAGGATAATCTGAACTTTTTTGTTTGACAATGTTTGCTGTATCTCTAAAAATAAAGTGGTGGGGGGTATTCAAATGTTATAATATTTGAAGTTTTGTTAGTTTCACATGTGGCCGATAGAGGGCTTTTTTCGAAATTCCGACTGAAATGGTTAATATTCTCAAAAAAATTAAATGCATTGGTATGATTGTTTTTATGAAAAAGTAGCTAAATGAAAACCGCATCTCGATATCTTGTTCCTAACCTAAAATTTAGGCCAAAGAGAATTTTATACGGAAATTCCTTGAATTTTAATTTTTCTGAAATAATTTTCCTGGAATTCTTTTTTATTCATCAGAATAAAATTACCCTTTTCGAAAATATTACAAAATATCGCTAAAAGGCTAGTAAGTAATGCTAATAACTAAAGGCATATTTCTTGTTTAGATGCATATTCACTTTGGGTATATACGAAAAAGACAATTAATAGAAGCAGGCCATGGGATACAACAAAACAAGTACCTAATCAAAACATAAATAATCCTCAAATTGTCAATAGTTGTTAATAGTTTTGAGTTACTTTGAGCAATTTCTTTTACTTACCACATGCGCTTTACGAACGATGAAGCTGTTGACATGTTTGCAGTTTATTTTGAATGTCGTAAGAATGCCGCAGTAGCAAAAACAGTTTACGCGACTCGATATCCAAATCGGCGCCTTTGCAATGTGAAAGTTTTCCCCCGATTAGTGGCAGGTTTACGAGCCAATGGTAGTTTTCGGCATACGTGTCAACGGCAAAGAATTGGAAGAGTACAAGAAAATATTAATCGCGTACTGGGATATATTGAAGGAAATCCTCATGTTACCACAAGGGCATTATCCCTTGAGTTGGACATATCACGAACAATGGTTCTCAATATTTTTAAGAACCATAGGTAAGTTATAATGGCCATTAAAATATCCGGATTTATTTAAATTTAACTTTTTGAAAGAGGAAGACTTTGATCGGAGGTTTGACTATTGGATATATTTTAATTAAATTTAATTTTAATTTCAAACTATTTGGCCCGACTTTTTATAGTGACGGGATATTCAATCTGCACAATATGCATTATTGGTCTGCAGAAAATCCGCATTGCGTGCATCGCGAAAAGTTCAGCACCAAGGGCGTTGGAGTTTAAATGTATGGTGTAACATACTGGTAGGCAGAACTATTGGGCCATATTTTTTCGAGCAATCCCTAATTGGCAATGTCTTTCTTGACTTTTTGGACAATCACTCCTGTGCCAAAAGTTCAAAATTCTCGGCTGTATACAAATATGCGACCGATTAATGTCTTGCCTGATTTCGAGAAGTTGTTCGAAGGGATAATACGAGTATACGAACAAATCATAGAATTCATCGAAGAAATCAAAATTTTTATAAAAAATCAAGCTGGATTTAGAAAAAAATGTTCCACAGAAACGGCAATCCAAATGGTGGTGGAAGACTAGAGAAGAAGTATAGATGAGAAAGAAAATATTGTAACAATATTTTTAGAGTTCAAAAGGGCATTTGAGGCTATAGATGGGGAAAAATTGTTAATGAAAATGCGTCACTATGGCTTTAAAGGATCAGTATTACACATCTTACAAAATTATTTAGTAAATATGTAGAAGTCAAAAAACTAAAGTTGGAAATATTATGTCAAGTGTTCAAAATATATCAGTAGGGGTGACACAGTGACAAATAATTGCGGTCGATACACTTATTTACAGGGTGACTTTGAAGTTGAGTCATTAATTTTCAGATAATGATTGTAGAAGGAAGATAAACCAAAATATGTGTGTAAAAATAAAAAAACATTAAAAAAAATGTTACCTTGTTTTATGAAGTATCCTCCCGACGAGTATTTCAGTGCGGACCTGTATTTGATCGTGCGGTCTTGGAGCACCGGCAGGCACTCCCCTGTAAGGTCTTAAGTCTCCTGATTCACGAGCCCTTTGTACTATATTAACAAAGGCACGAGGTGTTGGTTGCACTCGATTGGGAAACCGATTCGCACAAATCCGTGATGCCGCGGCAGCATTTTGTAAACATGTGCCATTTTTTATTTCGTTTGAGCCACGCAACAAACACCATTATTCACTCACGCGTTACCGACTGACGAAAAACATCGTGATAAACGTTCCAAATTCTTTCGCTTTTTTGTTTCCGATGCGATGAACCGATAACGCGGATTATATCCGTTATTGCCAAACACGAGCACATAATATTATTGTTGAGACAGGGCGGTACTCAAACTTCTAAAGGGCTATAACTTTGTTACTTTAATTTTACCAGAAAAATGTTAAAGGAAAAAACATTTCTTTTGATCAGATCTACTCACTGTTAAAATAAATGACTCAACTTCGAAGTCACCCTGTATATAATTATGAATTGGTTAAATGTCAAAGAACTCAAATTAAACACTAATAAAACAAAATGTATGTCAATAGGGAAACATTTAGGTGACAATACAATTAGGCTCATGATTAATGATGAAAAAATTGAAGTAGTCGAGTCATTTAAATATCTTGGTATATATATGTTTATAGTAAGCTATTGTTTCACGAACATTATGAATACATTATTTCAAAAATATCGAAAAAGATAAATTGTGGGTATACTTCTTCCCTATTTTTTATAATGTTCAACCATCTTGTTTACATCAATTGAAAACATATTTTCAAAATTACAAATTCTACAAAATAAAGCTATGAGAATCATTTTAAATAAAAACAAATATGCCAGAATTAAGTCTGTTAGAAGAGCTGCAGTGGTTGGATGTGAAAAATTTCATATATTATTTAATTCTCGTTTTCACATTCAAATTAAAAAATAATTTATTACCACCACATTTAGAGAACTTCACAAAATTAAATAGTCATTATCACAACTACGAAACTAGAGGCAGTATAGATTTTCATCAGCAAAATTGTAATAGTAGTATAACTAGTAAAACTATATTTCAATAATGATATTAAACAGAGTTCGAATTTAAAAATGTTTAAGGTGAAATTAAAAAATCACTTTATGAATAATACACATAAAACATAGTGACGTAATTTTAATTTTAATAGACAAGAATGTAAAATTACAGAAAACGGATTGAAGAAAAATATGTAACCGGATCATTATACAAAATTCACATTGTAGCATTAATATGAATAGATCTTCAACAAAAAAACAATTCCCGTTGTTGGAGGAAGATGTGCCACTGGAAACACTGCAAAACTTGATTTTGCAGTTGGATCGTTGCTCAGCACATTTTGCTATTATTGTGCGAAGAGCATATTAATGCAGTATTTCAACAGCGGTGTATTGGCAGAGGAAGTCTGTTTCCATAGCCTTCGCGATCACCAGACTTAACTTTCCTTAATTTTTATTTATGGGGACGGTTAAAGGACATCGTGTTTCAAGCTCAACCTACAACCAGAGACGTAACATAGCATTTCGAGTATTTACGGGGGCATTAAAAACCTTTTTTTTTTAAATCGGCACTTTTTAGGATCACAACTTAATAATAAAAAAGATTAAAATCTTCTTTGGCCTAAATTTTAGGTTAGGAACAAGATATCGAGATGCAGTTTTTAGACATCATTTAGCTATTTTTCATAAAAAAAAATCATAGCAATGCATTTAATTTTTTGAGAAAATTAGCCATTTCTGTCGTAATGTCGAACAAAGCCCTCTAACGGTCACATGTATTGTGAAACTAACAAAAATTCAAATATAATATTTGTAGCCCAAGAAGCTCTTTTCAACTAGCCCAAGTTTGTTAAGATCGAAAAGGGAGAGGAAAAGTCATAGTTGCTTTCTGATAATTTAAAAACCTGTTCAGCACAGTCGGTACACAACGCATAATGACCCAAAATACAAATAATTTCCAATAAATGTAATGGAGGGTGAAGATATTTAAAAATAAATATTTGAAGGGAGAAGAATGATTGCATCCATCCCAGAAGTGATATCGAAAGGTCCCATTTGTGGAACCTGATTATATAAAAAACTAGGGCAAAGTCACGTGAAATAAAACTTTCACTATATAAAATGAATGTTGGTTTCCTTATCGGATAAAATATTGAATTTCGTATGAAGCTTTTATTAAATGTTTGCCGATTCTCATCAATAGCACATCAAATACCCTCAAAGCTTTCAGTAAGGGCTAGCGCACATCAAATCATCCAGGGGGATAATCATCCTTAACTAGTTTACCATTCCTTCAAAAAAACTCGTTCCCTTCGAACGACTGGAATTACAGGATCGAGTGGACGAACGAGAACGAGAGAGGATAAAGGAGACGGAACACACCCGTAAGCAGAAAGTTGTATAACTGGTTGACTGGCAGTTATGGAAAAAGATGACAAATGTAGTTAGTTATAGAGGTTGAGAATTAGCTAACTTTTATAAAAAAAGGATCACCCATTGCTGCTCATGAAGAAATTAAAACAGTACTAAAATAAAAATGTAAATTAACTATAAATTTCCATTTAAAATGATATTTTTTTCAACTTTATCGGCTTCTAGACTATTTCTGCTGACAAAACTGTTTTCTCAGCCATCGAAAAAAGCCGCTCGCATGGCACAGACGGCAGGCAAGCGTTTTTTAACCATCTCAACTAATATGGGACTCATTTTTGTCTTTTCTGGTATCACTTCGGGGGTAAAACCGGTTCAGCAAAATATTTATCCATTCCATAATACCTGATGCGACTGGCTTTTGAGCTGCGCAAAGCCGTTTTACCGCAAAATCAGAATCGTCCAAAAGGTGCTGATAACGCTGAAATGATTAAAAATCTGATCATGTAATTCGACTTGTTTCCTTCATCATGAACAAATAATCTGTATTTACAATTAATGGGGATAACATTGTACATACAGCAATACCAACTTTTTTTCATAGCGGAAAACAAAATAGATGAAAATAGACATGCTTATTCCAAACAATTACAATAAAACAGACCTAAAATGCATAACTTATATATACATATATAATATCCAAATAAACAATAACAAAAAATATACACTTGACTATGGAAGTAAAAAATCCTTTTAGTGAGAAACTGGTAAAGGAGAACATTTGGGGAAAATAGAGAAAGCAGAACCTAACGCTAAAAATGAGGATCACTCTCCAGAAAGGAGAACATCTGGCAACCCTGATCAGGGGTATGTATTATATATCAAAAATCTTGGTAACTGGTAAAAACAAAAGTGTATCACTCATTATTTGAGATTGTTGGAAAACGTGTAAATGCCATACCTACTATGTACGCGACAATTTACGTTGAAAATTCAGATTTCAAACGTCCATCTTAATAAAAAATGTAAAACCAAAAAAGATTAACAGTACGAGGTGTTCCGAAGCGGTTACCCATGCACATACTAACCGCTGAACTCCGGCGATCGGATGAAAGACTGAGAGGCGACGCTTTCACTGACATTATTCTTGTGTAAAATAGTCCGTTCACGAACTAGCTGGTTTTAATGAGTGTGGCCTCTTGAACTAGTTCACCAAACTAGAAAGCACATTACTATCCGATATTGCTGAAGAAAAATCTTTTCCGAGTGTTGACGAGCATGCTCTGCTAGGCTGTACACAGATGCTGTGGTGAGTTGGTGAAATGCGACGAGCCTGCACCCGTTATATCGTGAGAATCGTTTAGGTTGGGCGAATTTCAAGGTGTAAGAGAGAAGCGTGCAACAGGTACAGTAATGGACAAAAGTATATAGACAAATATGAATATTTACCTAAATACCTTTAGAAAACGAATTCATACTGCATTGCTCCATAAAGAAATGCGTTATTAGTAGAAAAACTAAATTCCTTGTTTTTACATTATCTGCAATGAACACAATACAAGTCTGGATATAAGCACTTTTTATGGGGGACAAAAATATGTAGACAAATTCTTTTCAACATTATTTTAGTACAATTTCGTGTCAGAAGAGGATTAGTTTGTGTTCATCAAGAATTGTGGAATAAGTTGAGTGATTTTAAGACCATGCCGCGTGGTCCAGAAATTTCTTTCGATTTGAAAACTAAGATCATTGAGTTATACAAAGATGGTCAACGTCAAGTCGACATTGCCAAAAATGTGAAGCTGAAGCGTAAAGCAGTTTGGACAATATTGAACAAATATAAACAAAAAGGTATCTTGGAAGCCTCTAAGAGAAGTGGTCGGCCTAGAAAACTAAATGCTAGATCAGTTAGGTTAATACAAGTAATTTCGTCCAAAGATCCGTTTAAAACCCCAAGACAAATAAAAGCCGAAATCGAAACAACAGGAATTGTCAGTGTTTCTACGAAAACTATAAGTAGAAGATTAAATGATTTGAAGTTATTTGCACGTCGCCCGAGTAAGAAGCCGCTAATCTCGAGGAAAAACCGTAAGGACCGATTACACTTTGCACGGTTGCATCTTTATTGGAGCATCTGTGACTGGAAGAGGGTATGTTTCAGTGACGAATCCAAGTTCAATATGTTTGGATCAGATGGTGTTCATTACGTTAGACATCCTAATGGACAAAGATTGAACCCCAAGTACACTTCGCCCACTGTCAAACATGGAGGCGAGTCTGTTATGGTTTGGGGGTACTTTTCGGGGTTTGGAATGGGAGCTTTACATAGAATAGATGGCATTATGGATAAGTTTGTATACACAGACATACTAAAGCATGTCATGTTACCCTATATGGAAGACAATATACGCTTAAGATCAATCTTCCAGCAAGATAATGACCCGAAGCACACTTCAAATCTCGCAAAGAAATTCTTTCTGGATGAAAAAATACCAGTTCTCAAATGGCCTTCACAGTCTCCCGATATAAACTCCATTGAAAATCTATGGGAATACTTAGATAAGCAAATACGAGATAAAAATTATTCAAACAAGGATGAACTTTTTGTCGCTTCAGAGCAAAAGTGGAGACAGATTGATAAATCTTATATCAAGAAACTTCTACAATCTATGCCGAGACGATGCCAGGCGGTGATTGATAATAATGGTTATGCTACAAAATATTAACACAAACATGGTTGGTTTTCTATAATTCAATGAACTTTGCTTCTTTTTTCTGTAATTGTTTTGCTTGGTCTATATATTTTTGTCCTTCATAGTTCTAGTTTTTTTCAATTAATTTTTCATTGAAGGGAGTCTAATGAATTTATTTATGTATAAGTGAGTATTATGCTATAACGAATTATGTATACAGGTTGGTGTATTAATAAAACAAGTTAAAAAGAAATACAGCACAATATTAATTTGTCTATATACTTTTGTCCATTACTGTATGTTAGAAAGAGTGCTCCGTGACTTCCTCGCTGTCGTGGGCAGGCAACGTGGTGACTACTTGTGGGCGCACTCTTTCTAACAAACGTGTTTCACGCTTCTCTCTCTCTCTTTCTCTCATCTCTCTCTATAGTACACATTGAAACCAGGCGGACCTTAACCATAAATGATTCGCACGGTATGCCGATAATTTATTATAAAAGATAACAAAAGGCTATCAAATTCATCTTACTATCAAGATTATTATATACACTGAGTGACAAAAAGAGGTAAATACCTACGTATGTTAATTAGAATTCAAGAATTTTTTACATATCGATTAATCTTGCCATGAACAACAAGTGATAAAATGGTCAGGTTTTTCTGTTAAGTTTTTGTGGTGGCTGCGTGTATTGTTTGGTGATAAAGAAGCATTCAAATTTCGTGTAGCTTATTGAGAAGCCTTTTTGTGATTGATCAAAATGCCTAGAGTGCGTAGAGTTCGCCGGGTGTCCCAGCTAAGTGACTTTGAGAGGGATCGACTTGTCGGGTTGCGTGAAGCCAGTCTATCGATAAGAGAAGTTTCTGGACGCAGTATACTGCAGTGTGAACGAGCGTGAACTCAGGAAGGCCGAGGACAGCGAGCGAGGGGTTCTGGACGTCCCAGAGGGACCATAGAGCGAACAAGACCGCCGGTTGAGACTTCTGGCTCTGAGAGACATATTCAGTAGTACTCGAGCCATCGCTAATCAGTGGTTTGAAGATCATGGGAGGATAGTTGGTATGCGTTCGGTTTATTGCCGAATACGACAGTTTGGCCTTTTTCTTATCGCCCACATTGGGAGCTACCTCTCACAGCTGAACATCGGCGTAACAGTTTGCTCTGGTGCAGAGAAAGAATTCTATGGGACCGGGAGTGGAATCAGGTGGTCTTTAGTGACGAATCACGCTTCTGTCTGGGGTGCACGATAGCTGGGCAAGAGTGAGAAGGCACCGTGGCGAATGACGTGACCTACAATTTGACAGAGAGCGTCACATTCACCACAGCGTGGGAGTTATGGTATGGGGTGCTATTGCTTATGGTAGTAGATTACCACTAATTTTCATCTGCGGCAATGTGACGGCCCGACGCTATATTCATGAAGCAGTGGAGCCTCATCTCATTCCATACCTAAACACAATCCAAAACCCGATTTTTCAGCAAGAGAATACCAGACCGCATGTTGCCAGAGCATCGTTAGCCTTCATGAATCAACATCGTATCAACCAAACGGTTGGCCACCACGATCGCCTGACCTATCTCCAATTGAACATGTCTGTGACATGATAGGTCGCAGACTCTTGAATTTGCAATCCCTCCACAGTTTTTAGCAGCTCTTACTCACGAAGTTGCAGTAGCCTGGAATGTGATACCACCACAGAATATCGACCACCTTATCAGCACGATGCCCAGGCGTGTCGATGAGTGTGAAATAGTGGATCCTCAACATGTTATTAAACCAGCTTCTGCAGTCAGTTGACGAATCAAGCTGCAAATTTAAACATTTCACTAGTAAGGGACACTGAACATATATGCCAAAAATTATTAAAAACGGATACCTTTTTTTGTCACTTAGTATATTCTTTGAAACTGTTCCCAACATATGACAAAATGACCCTAAGATGTAGTACTACACGGCAATCTTCTCCGCCATGAAGTTACAGCAAATGTAAGCTAAAATCACAACGAGATATAAAGAACAGGATTTCTATATCACTACACGAGGACATAAACTTAGACCTTTACATCTCACTACATTCCTTACAGAATCGCACTGTAACATTGTTTTGCTTATCATACATCAAAATTTTGAAATATTGTTGTCAACCTTACCTAGCGTCATCATTTCCTTCACTAAATTCGCTGTCACTATCAATTACAATCGTTAGAATCTCACTACTAGCCTCAAATGTTTTATCATCAACTCTAACTGGTACTTTTGAACAACTAGGCTTTTCCTCGTTCTGTTCTGGCATTGGATCACAAGATGATGAGCTTTCGACCTTCGTTGAAAGATCAGGCTTTTCAACTTTACAAAATGAAGGAATCAACGTATGTATTTTTTTTGGTGAGGGACATGAGGAAATCAGCGTTCTAGCTCTTTTGGTAGGTGTATATGAAGCAGTTACTGTCTGCACTTTTTCAGTTGGTGTGGTAACAGGGGTACCAGCTTCCGGCGTTTTGGAGGGTGACTTGATAGGAGTACTCATTTTCTGTGCTTTGTTATCTCCTTTTTCCGATTTTTCTTCTTTATCATTTTGTTTTTCTGTTTTCTTTTCCGGTGAACTCGGTATTAAATTTTCTGAATTCCGCTTGTCATTTTTTCTATTTTTCAAATACTTATTATGCGTCTCTAGAAGATTCCACACCTCCATATCTACGTAATCACTACCATCTTTCACGTGAATTTTCGCAGAAACCTGCAAAAGAAAGTTGGGTGCATAAGATTGTCGAAAAACACAAACGTAAGTTTTAAAACCGTTTTACAATCCGCAAGACCATTGCATCAAAGCTCTTGTATTTGCAAGACCGCATTGTACGGGCAACACTGTTCAAACGCATAGGCGTCGGTCAAGTGTGGGCTTAATGTGTAATCATCTGAGAGGCTTCTATGAATTGTAGATTACTGCCAGTAGTAGATAATCTGGCATTTGTCCAGTAGCATTTCACAGAAGTGCATGGTGGTTCTTCGCTTCTTCTGTGCTGCCACATTAATAGCGCTATATCATGCTTACAGCCACCCTCTTGTGCAGCACAACCACTGCATTCTAGCTTGATTACTGATTCCTCCTTTTCGTCGCATTCAAAACTGCAATGATACTGTTTGCTTTTAACTCTATGTTCGGGCGTAATCCTGGCTTTTACAATACAGATATCCCGTTCTCTTTTTAACTGCACATAACCAATCGCCTCGTCTCCATGGGTGTTTTTTCCAGACCTATCTATAATGACAACAGCCAAATAACAATACCCAAAAATGAATGACAAATCATTGATTCTACTCCTGGTTAACAAATGGACATCGTGAAGTGTTACGAAAGAATTATTAAAATGCTGTGAAGTAATGATATCAAGATGTGTGTCAGTTTGAAAATGTTCAAAGGGAAATTGAAAAAATATCTCATGGAAAACCAGAATTCATAGTAGTGAAATTTTGTATAAAAATATGTAGTCTTGAAGACATAATATATTTTGTAATATACTATGTAATATGGATATTGTAGCATTAATGCTAAGTAAATCTGAAACAAACAAACACCGGACGGCCATAAGTCGTATTGGCGTTGGATTAAATTTCAGTTCAAACAATTGATTTTATGGTCACTGCGCGATATTGAATTTATTATCAATTTATCAAACATATTCACTGGAGTTTTGGGTCATCCTAAATTATTTGATGCATGCAAAGCATGTTTTCGTTTTCTTCTATTTATAAAATTAATAAAGCCAAATAAGATCATCCATAATACCCTGCCACTGACACCACGCGTCCTACGTAAAGTTGATGACTCAAAACACTTTTATAAGTCCACAGTATGGTATAGTCGCAGGCAAAGGGTTGAAAAAATGACTTCACGTTATCAGAGTTGTATACAATAAATCATACTATTTACGTATTTCCGTACTGACATAAAGTGGATTGTTTGTGAAGAAATTCATTACCATTATTATGTCCACCTTCAAAAGATTTGTGGAATCGGCACGTAAAAAACCTTTTTCCATTTTAATTATTATATACTACCATACTACAATCTACGCCAAGATTCAAACAATGAATTAAGTCTTGTCAGCTTGAGCGCAAAAGATGTATGCGATATGCCGTCGTGTCGGCCGACCGCTTCACTACGACGTGCGAGGTTCCGTCATGTGACGTCACTACGGAACCTCGACGCGCGAGGCCGATAGGCTACAGCAGCCAACACAGAAAATGCCATAACTTCCTTAAATTTAAAGTTACTGGAATAATTCTTTCAGATTTGTCAAAGATACTAGTTATATTATCAGATGCAAGTAACACAGATAGTATTTTCGACTAAAGGAAACTTCCTAATTGCATCGGATCACTTGCAGTTGCAAGATGGCCCTGTTTCCTCAATTCAAACGAACAAGGTTAGCCAACCTAAAAGAATGAAATATTCTACGTCACATTCGTAACCTATAATTTTGTTTTTGGTTTTTATCCTACAGAACACATGGTTTTAATATTCGAAAATTAGGTCCAAACGCCGACCATCCAACATCAAAAGACAATCAAACATATATCTGTAAACAATTAAATTTAATCACCACAAATCACCGGACCAGAATAGGGATATTTACATGCATTGATAACTCGTAAGTTACTAACTATTCCACAAGAATTGCAGGCAAACTTTAATGAAAGATCCAAATGATTGATTTTCATGCAAGACCCAGCAGTTGCAAGAAATGACGGCAAGAGTAGGCTGTTTTGTTAGCGCGCATGTATCTGATCAAGATTTGTCTTGGTCTTGCTGACTGTAAAACGGGTATTACAACCATGAATATACAAAATACCTTTTGCGGACAAAGTTCAAAATTGAGGAAATAATGTGAGGTGATAAGTATGAATTGGCATCTTCCGTTGATACCAAGAAATCTCAACTCACTTTCATTTGAGACCACATTCTCAATAATCTGCTTTCATCCCAAGTATCATATTTTGTTCTGTGAGATTTTACTTTAATAATGAGAGTTCTCCAAGGATTCGCAGCAAGAGTTGCTTTACTTCTCGAGACTTCGTATTCGTTTTTCATTGCTTCTAATAAGTCAACCTTATCTTGAAACGAAAAGCATTGTTGCGGCTTTCCTACATTTCTGGAAAAAATACTTTTAATAGCCATCATTAAGAAATGTTTTTTATTTTATTATTATATCATGTAGAATTAAGTAGATGAAGTTTTAAGCTTCAAATGGGCTGTAGCGATACTCGTTAATCAAAAGATTATTTTTCTTAATTTCTGCAAAAGATTTGAAACCAATAACATTAGATAGACAATGAAGATGGCTATCAAATGATGCACCGCAAGGCCCTACCTTTCATTTAAAAACTTGGAAATAAAGTCTTTAGTTAATAAAGAGAATTTTTATATCTGAAATTAATGATATTTTGGGTTATCACAGCTATGCCCAATGACAAATTTATTTCAATTGGCTGTCTCCATACACATTCATAAATTAAAAACGTAAACGAGGGCTGATTCCTACGGTTAGCCCCTGACTCCTTTGCAGATTTGATAAATATTGTTGAAAGTAAAACAGGTGACCTTAGGAGACTATGTTGCCAAAACTATAGGTATAGGTACCACACGGTTTTGACGATACCTGCTTTTTGGTTCATGCAGGTATGTCAAGGATTTTAATAATTCTGGTGAGCAAATAGCGATACAGCCGGTAAAGAAACAGCATAGCGAAACGTTTCGAATCCTGTGGTAGGCAGGTACTGAAAAATGTTTTAAACTTTTTATTTTTTGTAACGGTCCTTTAAATATTATATATAGAAAAATAGTGACAATTTTGTAGCTTGATGAAAAAGCTACAAAAGTTGTTTCTATATTTTCAAATCTACATTAGCTTATGGAATAGAGTCAATTTTCTTAGAACTGTGCTTAGTCCATACGTAAATGCGCATAGTTGAGCGTAAAAAAAGTTAGCCGTTTGGTATATACTCGTTAAGTTGGCCGCTTGGTATATACAAATGTTGTTAAGGTCATTTGAAATAGTTTTGTCACGGGCTTAACGATTCCGCTCTTCAGGCCTCAACTAAGGGTTGGGGGTGCGGGGTGTTTAAATAACACTGTTTCCAGGGAAATCCCGTTTCAGGGCAAGTTCGCATAACTAAATCCTATTCAAATGTTATTTAGGTCACGTTAAATCACATGCGGTATGTAAATCGTCAAACTCTTGCGCTACTATTGGAAAGTAGCTGGACACGTAGCAATGTCGATATGAACGGAAGAAATACAGCAGTCGCTTATATTTTGATGCTGCATAAATGCCATTTAACCTTAGTGATGATATCTTTAAATATTAGCAAAACTGCCACTTCAGACTCCAAAACATGGAAAAAATAGTTGCTGCTGTCAGGAGTTGAACGCAGCACGGGTATTACGTATCTTGAAAAGTGAGATTATGTAGATTTTTTTTGACATTACGTTGGTTTTTAGTGACATTACGTAGGTTTTTCTAGCTGATGAACCCGTTGTGAACTTGTTTTGTTGTTGTACGTGTTGCTTAAACGTTATGAGGCTTCGGTTATCAATGTTTAGCTCTGATGTGATGTAAAATTTGCTTCAGAGATGGCATTACTGGAGGTAACGGCAATGCATAGGTGCACAGTGAGGATTTGTGTGCTAATAATATGTGTTGATGATAATTCCATTGGATTCTTGTCTCAAATACAATTACTTGAGAGTCAAAACTAGAAACTAGTTGCGCATCCACTTTTTCTTATCCATTCTGAAAATAAGATATGCAAATTTGCTGAATTTAAAAAATGAGAGAGATAAGAAATAATTATGTTCACTGTACGCTGTCGAAATATAAGTCATATACAGTAGCGAACAAAAGTTTGGAAGGAAATATTAACATTATTATGAACTATTTCATATACCTAAATTAAAATTGTGAAGGAACGGATAATATTAATATAAAAGTCTACCTTTGGTTTCCGTACCAATACAAGGTTTATCTTATCAATATTCAAATTCTCTGAAAATAAAAACACGCGTTTTTTCTTTTTTAAATACCACGTTTGTAACATTTCAGTTTTGCCGTATTTATCTGTTCTGTGATACTCTGATATTGCGTGCGGCAAATATTAACATCAGTGAGAATAGCAAAAGTAAAAGAATTTTCAAAATATTTAATAGACAAAGTAATTGAATTATTCAGAAGTGGTGTCAGAAACGTTGACATTTCTCAAAGATTAAAAATGAACAAAAAAAAAACGATTATGTTATGCTACATTAAACGTTTGTCCCACCCATGACGATCCTCGAATGCCAGCCACACAGATTTTCAAAAGAATCGTAGAAGAGGGTGCCGAGAATCTTTGTCAGAACAGTGCGGAGCGTCCAGTGCAAAAGCCTCTCATTTCAAAAAAAAATCTTATTGCTGGTCTTGAATTTGCTAAAACTCATCTAACTTGGACATAACAACAATGGAATTCAGTTTTATGGAGCGATGAAAGCAAATTTAACTTGTTTGTATCTGACGGTACGGCATATGTGAGACATCCAATATGAAAAAGATTCGACAAAAAGTATCAGTTGCCAACAGTTAAGCACGGTGGAGGCATCATCATGGTTTGAGGCTATTTTTCTAGTTCTGGAACGGGTCCAATTGTTAAAATTGTTGGGAAAATTGATCAAAAACTTTACAAAGATATTCTTAGTGAACACATACTCACTTTTGTTAAAGAAGAAATGCCTTAACGACGGACATTGCAGCAAGATAATGACCCCAAGCATACCTCAAAATTCGTAAAGAACTGGTTAAGACTAAAAAATATTAATAATATTACATGGCCTTCGCAATCCCCGGTCCTAAACCCTATAGAACATCTCTGGAAGCATGTTGAAAAGGCAACTGACAAGAAAAATTTTTAAAAATAGGAACGATTTATTTGATTATCTAAAAAATATTTGGCAAAATATCCCAACAGACGTCTGTAGAAAATTGGTGTCCTCTATGAGCAGCAGATGTCAGGCATTGTGGAATGCTAAAGGCTATGTTACCAAATATTAGCTTAACAGTATTTTTTAAATCTTTTTATAGAGTTATTCTATTTAATTTTGTAATAAAAAATAGTTTTTTTTTCTATACTTTTGTCGTCTCATTTTTGGTAATAAATAATATGAAGGTATTTTAATGCTAGTCTATAGTACCACAGCAAACATAAATTGTCATTTGTATCCTCAAGACTATATGAGAAAAAATAGTCCTTAATAATAAAGAATGAAAAGCTATCGCACTTTAAAAATGACTAAGAATGTTTCCAAACTTTTGTCCGCTACTGTACATGCTAACAGTAATTACACACAACACGGGCGCGATGGTGATTTCCGTAATTCTCCTCAAAGTTTTTGAAAACACAAAAAAAATAAAAAATCGTAATTTATAACTTTGAACATAACCTGTCTTCAGAAATGTCAACATATAAATAACCCGTCGGGCACACCTAATAGATATACTTCATTGGCAGCATATTCAGTAATGATTTTCTCACACAGCAAATATCACTGATTTTATACACATGCAGACTAATACACACAATCATCCAGATGCGATCTTGCTATTCAACCAACTTTCTTCTCAGATATGAAAACTACAGACAACTCGGCTTCACAAAACATATGCATCCAACAATGCGTGTAGTTGAGCTATTCCTCCCTAGATGGACTCTCAGAACGATCCTAGTGAGCAAACGTTGAATCAGTGTTTGCACCCTAAAGACTACCTAGTCTGCAAGATGACATTTTATAGGTTTTTTTACGTTTTATAGATTTTTTATAAACGTAATACCCGTGCGGTACCTTTAGTCTACTGGGCAGATTTCTATCACTGCACCAAAATAACTGACAGCCACTAGCTTTAAAATCCAATGATTATATTCTGAGGTGCATTATCGAAGGCATCATTTCTGGCCGCATGTTTTTTCTGATACTTTTTATTTTACACAGACAATCTGGGTAGACACAATATTTTCAGTCGCTGTTTTCAAGTTCTCAAAGGATTTTCCGAAACTGTTCACCATAAAGAAAGTTTTACGGTTTAAAAAAAATATTGTCACCTTTTACTGGTTTTTAAAAAAAATGTTGTCACCTTTTGTACTTTTCTTCAAGATATGGTTAGATACTGTCAAAAAATTGCTTCAAAAGAATGACTGAAGAAAAGTCGAACTTTGTGCTATATATTTTTTTTCTAGAAAGGAAAATTGATCTAAATCTACAAGAGTTTTTCGATATTAGGATTCTGAAAAGGTATTTATGGCCTAAAATAGCACGTAACATCAAAAAATATTTTTGCTCATTCTGAAATATGTTTTTTCTCCAGATAACTTTTTTGGGGCAATTTCAGTATAGTCACGTTAACATTTAGCTTTTTGTTTACATCCCTTGTAATTTTCATTAATCATGGAACGTGGTAAAAGAGGCATAGACGAACGTAGGTATCAAAATATGGTAGAGACAACTTTTGAAGCTTATTTATTGAGCTACAAAACCGTGTTAACAACTTGATCCGGAACTTTTCGTCATTCTAAAGAACAATAATTCAATAACCCAAATCTAAATTTTCATCCATTATAGAATTTTTGTTACGTAAAGTGCTCATTTACTGGGCTAATAATAAAAAGGAATCTCGTCCATAAAGATTTACTGAAATATTTGAAGTGTGGAAGGTCATCTTGTGAAAACCAACATGGCGGTGGGCCACCTGTAATGAAATTACCTGACCAAAAACAGTAAAACGGTGCAAGATATGGTGTTACAAGACACACATGTAGAGTTAAAGGATCCTATTGTCCATACTTAATCTGAATATTGCAATATGCTTTTAAAAAAAATTGGAGGGAAAGGAGGAACTCAAAAAAACAGGATAATCCTGCGTAAAATAATATAATCATAACGTACTTAGACATGGCTCTCCGTTTCTTCTTAGAACCAAACCATGGAGACTCTGCTTTCTTAGGGGCCAGCTCTGTATGCCAATAATTCCTCAACTTCAGTTTTTTCATCAACCCCATCAACGAATCTAATTCCTCTTTCAAATCGTTGCTCAACGCTGTTCCGCCTGTTCTTGTCTTCAAACGACGAAATAAGTTTTGCCATTGCACCTTCAGGTTAAGATAATTGTACCCAGCGAATTTGTCGCACGACGACATTTTTCGAAGCACAACGTTCCAAGTTACATCAAAAATGTCAGATTCATGCAAGAAATTTGTCATTTTTCTCACCAGAATGACACTGTTCTCATCATCGGGTTGTTTACTGGCTCTCACAGAGTTTTTGATAGCATCTAATTGGTCAAATAGTTTCATGCAATGTGATACTTTTTCAGAGAGCCCCCGGTCTAGTGATTTTTTGTTGTAATTCTTTTTCAAATCATACCAATGAGATGCTAGAGTCGTTGCTTTTTTCGATGATAATAAATTTTCATTTTTGAGGTTTCTCCAAATTTGGATTAATGATCGGGCGTTGGCTTGTTTAAATTGGGCAGTAAGAGCGTCCAAAAAGATCATATCCTTCTCGCGGGTCCACCAGTTATGAGAAGCGTTTTTATGTTCGCGATCAACTTCATTCCTGAAAGAGCAATTTAATATTTATAGTGACTAAACATTTATTGATCAATAGTAGATTTAGACCAAATAAGAAAAATAAGATTTTACTTCATTATTGATGAGATATATGGATTCCATGTAAGAACAGAACGTCGATTTAACAGAAACACATGGCTTCAACATGATGAGGCCACTGCCCATACTTCCAGAGAATCGATGGACACGGTAAAAGCACTTTTTCCTCAAAAAGTTATAGCGATGTTTGGAGATATTCACTGGCCTCCTAGGTCATCCGACCTCAAGCCATGCGATTATTTTTTTTGTTATCTTAAGTCAAAAGTGTATTCCAATAATCCACGAACACTCGGGAACTATGTAAGAGTGTTTCAGAATTTGCGCGCGCGGTAAAAAGAGTGTTTCCGAAGGGATGGCAAACATTTGGACGGAATTATATTTAAGAAATAAAATCCGCCGAATTTACGAATATGTTGATAGTGATAAATATTTTCTTTTCATTAAGTTTGTATTTTTTTTTAATCAAAAAGTGAACTTTCCCACTGTATTTACATACCTCATTCTCAATTTCAAGTTCAATAGTTTTGCGTCAGTTCATGGCATTCTATTGAAAAGATTTTTTGTGAATAGATATTTTAACTAGTGTCTGATGGATCTTTTGGTTTGGTTTCGACAGAAAATCCCCCCTTAAACCGAAACTGCGGAAACTTCAGAAACCGTCGGGCTGACATTTTGAGGCTTTCACTGTTTCCTTGTTTGTATTTTTTTGCAAATATTGTATGTAGTATAAATACATAAATTAGTGGTAAAAGGACAAAGGACGCATGCGCACGCACATTCAATAAAGAAACAGATACAAAAATCAACTGAAGAAGATCTATAAGGGTTAAATAGTATAACAAACAATAAAAGAGAGAAGGTACGCAGACAAAAGTATCAGGACTCTTATTTAACTTTATGAATCACTCTTTAGCTAGACTTTGTTGACTTTACTTACTTGAGAGACGTCTGCTTTCCGGGGCCCGTATCGCTCATTTCCATTTGAGAAGAACTTGCTTCCTTGCCGACACTGTTAACAGTACTTCCTCCTGCATGAACTGAGTTTCCTTTTGCAGTTTCACTATCAGGCTCTACGTGAGCACCAGCACCTTCAGGTGACTGATCCTCCCAACTAGAGGAAATGTTTGCGACTTGTACCATTTTATCTTCTTCCTCTGTTAGATCTATTATCATACTGCTCTTGAGAATGGCACTTTGTATCACAGGTATAGTATTTATTGGCGCCTTGCGAACATTTCCAGCGACTTTCTCCAATTTGAGATGATCTAAAAAAACAATCTCATATGAATCATGACACATTGAGTAAGATCATTGATTAACACATTGCACCACAGGATATCGAATTACGTTGAAATCCACGCCTGCGCGAAAACAGGCGTGGCACTACCACCTAGTGATGGTAAATATTTCACTACTATGGCAGTAAAGTGTAAAAATCGATGCCTAGGGAGGTTCATTTCAAATGCCTGGATTTTTTCGAACTAAATAAATAGTACTATGATGACAGAATACAAGTGAATGAATATTGCAAAGTTACATGTCTTTATAGAGTCATTTAAATGTGATTTTCATAATTATTGTCGAGACCTAAAATAAACGAAATTCCGTCTTTAACTGTCGTAAATCAAAAAACAGTAACATGTGATTTACTGCTTTTATACTCCGTAAAAACAATTTTTTTTAGTTTTCATAATCTATTTATTTTATTTTTTCAAAGGAAAATCGCAGCAATGCAGAATTTTATTTTATTTTAATATAATTTCTTCATATTGAAATTCGCATAAATAGCACAAAAGTAAATTTTTCGCAAATTCTCATGATTCTCTTGGGCTGACAATTCGACAACCTTAACAAACAAAAAATCAGCAAAATTATATATTTTTTTCGTATAAGGAAAGAATCAACCCATCGGTCTATGAGTTGATTTTTGTTTTAAGGCTCTAAAATGATAGAATAGGTCTTTAGAACCATTTATTCCGTTACAAATTTACCGTTTTCTCCATGCTAGAGAAGGTATATCCTATAAATATATGAACACATTGCTTAATGGTCCTTGGCTAACGTAGCTTATAAGAGATTTTCGCAAAAAACTGATAGTTCAGAATATGTCCAAGGTAAGATCCATTAGAGCCACAATGTTGGTTAAATTAGGAAAACGTCTGCGAAAGGTTGGGAAATCCCGAAATTGGAGATACTCCTGACCAAAATATGTGAATTGACCTAAACATACCTCAATCTAAAAAGTGATAGTGTGCGAGATACAAGGTATCAAAGTTACCATTTTATTTACTATTCTTCCTTATTGCTTGAGAATTATTTCAGATTTTGGCATAAAACTCGGTATAGGGCGGTTTTCTAGTATGAAAAACAAGAATCCGTTATTTTGTATAGCCAAACTTCTAGACGGCGCCACTTACAGCACTATTTCGGTAAATAACTTATCATAACTTTTTTGTACTACCCTGTATACAACAACTGACCAAAAAATCTCATTTTATCGTATTTCCACAACAAAAAAGATTTACTTGTTAGAAGTGTCTAAAGCTAATAGTTTTCGAGATATTTGTTTTCAAAAGCTCCAATGCATTATTTGTACCATGATGATAAAACATTTTTATAACATAATAATCAAGTTGCTTTGGATAATATCTGAGTAGCGTTGCTATGGTTTCTAATGTTTGTCATAATATTGCATTAAACTTCATGAATAAGTTGTTAAACATCATGGAGTATACGTTTGATGAATATTCCGATATGCAGTTATTGTACGGATTGCTTTAAAAACAAATATCTTGAAAACTATTAGCTTTAGACACTTCTAACAAGTAAACCTTTTTTGTTGTGGAAATACGAAAAAATAAGATTTTTCGGTCAGTTGTATACAGGGTAGCACAAAAAAGTTATGATAAGTTATTTACCGAAATAGCGCTGTAGGTGGCGCCCTCTAGAAGTTTGGCCATAAAAAATTACGGATTCTTGTTTCTCATACTAGAAAACCTCCCTATACAGAGTTTTATGCCAAAATCTGCAATACTTCTCAAGCAATAAGGAAAAATAGAAAATAAAATTGTAACTTTGACATCCTGTATCCGCAAACTATCAACTTTTGGACTAAGGTATATTTAGGTCAATTCACATATTTTGGTCTGTAGTATCTCCAGTTTCAAGATTTCTCAACCTTCTACACAAAATTTACAAAAAAGTATAATTTTACAGATTTTAGAAATTATATTTGTCATCAAATACCTCAAAATCGGAAAGATGCAGCCAAATTCTGCGCAACTTTTTCCTCATTTAATCAGCAAAGTAACTCTAACCATTTTTGAAATATCCTTCCTCATCTTGGGCACACGATAGCGATAGCCAATTAACATTAAATAAACACTTGATACATTTGTAACATGGCTATCATCTTTGATTAGTTCGATCTCCAATAACACCCATATACCTCATATAGCATGATGAAAATGGTAAATTTTAGGTAAACATATCGAAAATTAGCTCCAAAGATCTATTATATTATTATTACTATATTTACAGGTCCAAGAGCAAAAGTTAACTGATGTAGATGGTTAGGTTGATTCTTTTTCTTTGCGTAAAATATATTGTGGATTTTTTTGTTTCTGAAGTCATTCGATTGTTAGTTCATAAAAAAAACAAAAAAATGTGAAAAAATACTTTGGTCTGAAATATCTGCCGAACGAATTATCAGATCGCAATTTGGAGTACATTTTTTACTTCCTTCCATTTTTGAATTCTTCGGACAATTTTACTCCAGAATAGTCACATACTACGGGGCCTAATGCTACCGAATGACAGGAGTAAATACAGAAAAGCTAAAAATTCATTTTTTTCGAATCTTGCAACTTTGAACGCGTCTCTAGAGAGAACTGTTCGACCTAGGAGTTTGAGATTTTACAAAGTCTTATGCATCCATTCTTTTCAGAAAACAAAGTAGAACCCGATATAAGACATGACCCTCACTCCGGTATCATGAAAATGTCAATTTTTGCTCAGAATATGGCCTATCCGACCAATTTAGAGGTTCGAGTACAAAATTCCATATACCGGGAAAACCAAAAATTTTTCTGACGGCTCAAGTTCATTGTGTACAAGAGAGAATCGCGAGAAGTGTATATCAACACACGTTACAAAGAGATAGAAGCCGGTCATGTAATCTACCACGTTACCAATATGTTACACCAGAAAATGTTCGCGCAAGCTTCTACAACAGGTTAGGTCAAACCGAAGGACGTTTGTTCGAACCTTGGTTGTATTTTGTTATCATTTTGATTAGAATTATTTTGATGCGACTTAGTGTTTTAATTTATTTTGTACACAAAGTGAAAACCATTTCGGAGCAGGACGATACTGGCAAATGAGAGCTAGACGTGTACTGACCAAAATCGCTTGCTTTGGAATGTACGAGATGCGATCATGACCTTTCATTTCGACCTAACATGGAGCGCCGTTAGGACCTATCCGGAAAAGATCCTAAACAGATTCGACGCAATTCACGATTCAAAAATATGTTCGCTCAAAATTAAACCATTATTTGGGCTATCCAGCCGGCTTCTGCCTCTTGGTAACATATGTGTCTATACATAGTTCTCTCTCGTATACATTGAACTCAAGCCGTCAGACAAATTTAGTTCTCAGTGATTAGGCGGTTAGGCTAGTCGATCTTGACAGAAAAAAAAATGTTTGTGCATTTTTCGTTTTGAAAGGCATTAAAATTGTCAGCCCAACCAGTGAAAAATTTCTAAAAAATCACTTGACTGATATATCTACTGAACGAATCATCATATCGAAATATGGAGATCATTTTTGACTACGACCCTGAAATTTCATAAAGCCTCATGCCATCATATGTACTTTCCAGGAAAATTTTTGCACTTGATCTGAGATATGACCCACCAAGCCGTGTCGTGGAATTTTAGTTTTAAACCATACACACCCGACGGAATATAGGAACGTAGCACATGTAAAGCAGTAAAAAACGTTAGTATCGTACAGTTTGGCAAATCCTGCTGCGAAATACATGGTGCGATTGATAAATAATGCCATGACAAATTGGTTAAGGCTTTCGCGGCCAGTCGATAAACTGCTGTCTTGATTCGGGTCTAAAGGCCGTCGTCGGTTGGAATTTCTTCTCAACGTTTCGCTAGCACGAGTGGCAAGCTTCTTCAGAGGTCCTTCCATTTCCGATGCTGGATGTAGACTGACGATTTCTCTTGCGCAGGTTGTAGTTACACCGGAGGGTAGGTGAGGTGTCTTGTTCTGCTTCGGTTGAAATCGGGATGTCGATCGGCACTGCTCGGGCGTTTCTGAGGATCGGGTGCCAGATCGGGTTGAGTCTGAGGGTCTGTTCCTTCCTGTTGAAGTTATCTGGATGTTTGTGAATCTCGACAGCTTCCCTGACCAGTCTATTGTGGTATCCTTTGACTGATGACAGCAACCTGCAGCTCCCAAAGTGTATCCTGTGGTCCCCATTGCTTAGTGCATGTTCAGCTAACGCAGACTTCTCAGTTTTTCCTAGCCGGCAATTTGCTTTGTGCTCCTTGAGTCTCGTTCCCTTTGATGTTTTTGTGGTTCCAATGTATACTTTGCCGCATGAACACGGTATGCGATAGACTCCTGCAGCTGAGAGTGGGTCCTTCTTGTCCTTTGCCGATCTGATGGTTTGTTGGATCTTCTTCGTAGGCTTGAAGATTGTTTTAATGCCATGTCTCTTCAGGACTCTTAGCACAAATGGAAGATACGCTTGAGAGGTGGTGGGACGCTGTTCGGTTTCACGTGGCCTTGCTGATCTCGAGCCCATTGATCTTTCGATGTCCCTCTTGCAGTAGCCATTTGCTTCGAACGCAGTTTTCAAGTGTTCAACTTCTGTCTGGAGGTTCTCCGGTTCGCAAATCCTTCGAGCTCGTTCTGTTAGGGTTCTGATGACTCCATACTTCTGACTCGGGTGATGATTGGACAAAGCGTGCAGGTATCTGTCTGTGTGCGTTGGTTTCCTGTACACTATGTGACTCAGCTTGTTACCTCGCTTCCTGACTAGTACGTCCAAGAAAGCCAGTTGTTGGTCACTGTCTATCTCCATGGTAAATTGTATGCTTGGATGCCGATCGTTGAGGTGCTGCAGAAACTCGTTTAGCCTGTCCGTGCCATGTTTCCAAATCACGAAGGTGTCGTCCACATGCCGGAACCAAATTGCTGGTTTGTTCTCCGAAGTCTCAACCGCCCAAAATCCCCCGTCCCATACGAAGTACCTTCCAGTGAGACAGATTTCAAAGAGCTTGCAGATGTCAGAAGGGAAGATCCTGCTCACCAGATCTAGGCATTCCCTCAGCGGTACCTTGGTGAAAAGGGAGACGACATCGAAGCTCACAAGGATGTCGTCGGGTTCAACTACGATGTCCTGGTACTCTTTATCACGTATGGTTGCAGCAGGGATGCCAAGTGTTTCGCTAAGTAGTACGTCGGCGATCCGGGAGCACTAACTATTGGTCTCAACGGAACATCTGCCTTGTGGATCTTGGGCAGGCCGTAGAGCCTTGGTGGAACTGCTTCTGTTCTCGTAACGCCCTTCTTGGTGTCTTCTGGCAGTGATGATAGCTTGATGAGCCGGTTGGTAAGGCGTAGTCGAGCTTGCGTTGGATCATTCTTCAGGGGTTTGTAACTTTCTGGGACTAGAAGTTCAATAATCTTCCTTTTGTAGTCCTCGGTTTTCAGAAGAACGGTTGCACTGCCTTTGTCGGCTGGGAGTATGATGATATCCTCGTCGTTATTCAAGTTCCGTAGTGCCAGACCTTCACTCCTCGTCAGGTTGCTTTTTGGTAGTTTCGCCCTTCTAAGAATGTTGGCTGTCTACATTCGTATCTCCTCGGCGGCCTCGTCCGGCCGATGTCTAACGGCTGCCTCCGTACTGGAAATAATGTCTTCAACCGGAATGTGGTGGGGCGTGCTTGCAAAATTACCTCCTTTGGATAATAATGATTTTTCATCCTCAGCAAGTACCCTATCCGTTAGATTCACCACGAGTCGCTCATGGTCAATGCTTGCTGTCTGGGGTGATTGCCTTCTCTGAAACTTCTCGAATATTTTAATCTACTGCTCCTTGAAGCGGTCCAGTTGGTTTCTCATGTTGTAATGCGATATTGCGTCCATTTTGTCCCAAGCTTGACACTCGTGCTAGCGAAACGTTAGGAAGAAATTCCAACCGACGACGGCCTTTAGACCCGAATTAAGACAGCAGTTTAAATAATGCCATGTAGCAGATGACAATACAGCCAGTCTGCAGTCACATTGAAGGTCTGATATAACGAGGATGGAGCTTGACGTAAGTTATTTTTTTGCAAACTCGTGACATTGGTTAAAACTGCAGAGATGGAACATTAGAGCAGCGCTAAGGAATCAGGTTTTATTTTTGCCTTGATTAATCATAAAAATGTCTACTCGTTGTTGCTTTTGCTTATCAATAATGATCACACGGAAAACCAGTTTCATGCACAGTTTGCTCATTCCCAAACTTTCATAACACTTTTGTGGGCAGTCAATTCACATTACAGAGAGCTCTTTTGCGATCATTTGCAATTTTGTACAGTAATTATTTTTTTTTTCATCTCTAGGAGGTGAGACACTCAAGTTGTACATAAAAAAATTATGTGTGCTCATTAACTTCTCCCTAACATTCCATGACCGTGTCACAAAAATAAATCCGATTTCACGAGTATTCACCACTTTTTGGAGTCTACTGAGGTGAACAACAGCTGAACAGCTATCCACATATTTGTATTAGTATGTAACGATGGCAATAATTAATTGGGTGTAAACCTAATAAAACATGCTTGTAGCCTTTTTCTTTTTTGTATGCAAATGAACTTTTCAAAATCAAACAGTTGTTAGCAAGTACAAAATGAATATGTAGCGTACAAAAAACCAAAACAAAATAAGCTTCTGTCTGCCTGGCGTTGATGGATCCTCAGAATTATGTGTCATTTGTCGATATGGGGAATTTTTAAATATTACTAGATGATCAGGTGTTATTCTACCGTAATGGATACTCGTGAAAAAGACAATAATAGTACAAAGATGACATGGCGCATTGAAAAGCATATTATATAGTTTCAGACATGTAATCTCTCAATCTGTCAAAGTTAGGTTAACTAATGCGTCGATTCTAAGCAAAGTAGAATATGCTGATTCCTGATTCTATGTTTGGTCTTTGCCTCACACAAAATAAATCCTATAGGTTGCAAGAGCTTCAAAAGTCATGTGTCTATTATGGGTTAGGCGTTCCTCAGCGAGGAAATATCACACAATATTTGCAGCGTGTTCCATGGTTGACTATGGTAAAAAGTGAATGGTACAACTGTGCTGTTGGTGCATACCGTTCTTTGTGATAAGCATGCTACCTACCTAAACGATATATTGTCAACGAGTTACCAAAATCATAGTGCCAATCCCAGATCACAGAACTAGTAATTTCTCTTGTGTAGGTGCCGCATTATATCACAGATTAGAGTTTTCAATCAAGCAACTTCAAATCAGATTTAAAGAACAAATCAAGGAGCTCATATTTAATGACGTATTATCTATATCAAGATAATGTTTTTTTATACCGAAGCAGCCGCGCAGGCAGAAGCCTAAATGCCGGAACACCGCGGCTGCTATGATGATCCCAAAGAAATTTTGTTAATACGATTTTTGAACTGCCTAAGGTTAGTAGAACTGGAAAAGAAAAGGCTTCCTCTTGTAGATTGTTCCACATCTCGATACCCTCGGGTCATATCGGCCAGTTCTGGATATACGAAGTTCGACACTGGTTAGGATGGGACGCCAAAGTCTGGCGGGTCTGACTGGCAGGCACATCGTGCGGCGGCATCATGAAATAGAGCTCTGAGGAGCAAAGCCGACGGCTCGCCAGTGCGAAAGGGTCCCGAGACTCTCTGTTAGAGAAGAGTCATCTATCAGTCGGACCGCCCTCCTCTGGCCAGCATCGAGCATAAATAATGTAGTCGGGCCGGTAGCACCCCATACGTGAGAGCAATACTCGAGGCTAGGCCTTATCTGGGCCTTATATAGATTGAGGTCATGCGGAGAAAAGTACTTCTTAGCCCTGAATAAATAGCCTAGCTTTTTCCCAGCAGCTGCCGCTATTGACGAGATGTATTCGTCCCAGATCAGGTCCTCGGTGATCTGGACTCCGACCAGCCGAAATGAATGGCTCTTTGGGAGAACTCGATCATCCATCGAAACCAGATGAGCGCTAGGACGCTTTTTATTCGTCACATAAGTACAGTACTGTGTTTTGGAAGCATTAAACTGTACAAGATTGTTGCGTCCCCAAGCAGTGATAACCTCCAGGTCTCTCGTCAGAGAGGAAGTCGTCGCTAGTCTAGCATGTCAGGACGAGTGGATTGCAGGTAGTGATAAACAGCATCTATGTTGCTGTTAATCCCGCAGATGTTCGTGAAACAAATTTTGTTCTCTCGAGCCACCCTCCACCCGGACATTCCGAGAGTGGAGTGAGCTTACATCCGAAATTCTTAGTACTCGAGGGATCCATCATCATTAATTTCTTTGTTTTGAAGATAACTGGCTGCATTGCTGCCTAGGTGTGGAAACATGCGGACATTTATAAGACCATGGGAAAAGCTAGCGGGTGGTACCGCCTCGGTCGACTGGTCCTTGTCTACCACCTTCTCGTTTTGAGACTGAAAATTCAGAAAATAAATTCTTATTTAAGAAACTTAAAAAACACGCAATAATAGCAAATTTTTGTTGATGAAATAGAACTAAAAATAATGTTCCAGTATAGGAAAGTTTATGTTACTGCAACAGAAAGTCTGACAATCAAATATGACCAATTAATTTAGAATAACATCAATATCAAAATTAAGATGTCAACAAAAAATTCACTATAGTAGAACAAGCGTGATGTGTAATTAACTATATTTTCCTAATAACTCCAAACTTGTAAATTGCAACTAAAAAAATAATTCTAACATTTAATATCAAGCACCCCTCATGCTTATATATAATTCTTTATTGCTAAAATTGAAAATTTTGTTAATATCTTAATTTTTACATTTATCTTATCTTAATTAATTGTTCGGCTCTCTATTGCAGTAACTCTCCTATATTTGAACATTGTTTTCTACTTTTTAGTACGATTGCTATTAAAGCATTTTTTTAAACTATAATTCATTTATCTCAATGGATATTTTAGGCTTTTGTATTTTGTCTTGATTATTATCAATAATTTATATTCTTACTGTGAAGAGACGTCTAAAATAACCACTGTCCTGGTTAGAAAGGAAGAACAGCCCTAGATTAGTTCTCACCAGGTTAATAAAGGAATTTTATTAATATCTTCAGAAACTAAGCTCGATTTGCCAAACTTTAGCGACACTCTATACAACACTGCAAATACTATTCTGTATGAAGTCGTTAAAATACCTTGATTCGACAGTATGCCACTATAGGACGCCTGGTACTGGTACTCTTGTGCCGCTGCACGATTTTCAACTGTAGATCTGACTCCTGTCTTTGCATCAAAGGCACTACAAGTTGCAGTACTCGTACTGCTTCCACACATGGTACTCAAACTATAAGGGGGTGGTGGTACAATGCTATTGTAACTTGGTGGAGGAATCATGTTTGGTTCAAAAATCCCCATTGGCTCTGGATGCCTTCTAATAGGAATTACATCTCCAGTAAGGATGTGCTGAATAACTGGATCTCTTGAAGTTGACGCACTCGTGGATAGTGGTGATCTATACCTCTTTTTTAAAGGTTTATTAGTTGGGGTAGGAGGTTCAGCTTTCAGATACTCAGATATGATATCATCTAATTCAGTTCCTTTAAGACGGCCCCTAAAGAATAACGGCATTATTTTTACAAAGATTCAAAAACCTACCCATACAAGATATTATTATATTAAGTTTATCTAATTCATTATCATATACAAGATGGAAACGGCCACATTTTGATTTTAATATAAGGGTTAGACGTCAGATCACTTTTAAATACACGATTACATAGCGAAAAGTCGCTATCAACGATGCGTTACCTGATAAGCTATTCCTGTTATTCCGAACTGAGTCGTTGTATCACAGCAACAACAAAAATCTTGTGGAATATAACTTCAAAATGGAACGAAACAACAAATCGTTATGAAGGCCATTTATTTTAATAGCTTACTTACAAAGTCAAGGATATGTCATTACTGATTTCCAACAGATGGGTGCCCACGGTAGAAAAAAAACCTGAAGCATTTACGTATATGTAACATCTGGAACTTATCCTGTGGTTTTCATGTTGATAATTCCCCATGCTCGTCTGACTGAACGAAAACCGTATATGTTTACAATTCCTCTTTATTGCACGACGTTTTGGTCCCAACCATGAGGTTATCTGTCGTTTTTTAATGTACCAGACGCCTCACCTTCATCCATCGTCTTGAAAAGACCAGAAGTCCTCTGACGATGGTCGAAAGCGACGCGTCTGGTACATGAAAAAAATGACAGATGATCGCATGCTCCCTTGTCGCTGTAGAGGGCTGGACGTCATTTGAATTGCAATAATGGCTTCGCGAAATCTCATCATGTTATAGGACCTTTCAGACTGTTGTAGTAACTCACTGTATACAAATATGAAAATGAAAGGAAAAACAAACAAAGTATCACCTGGAAGATAGATAAATAAAATAAATTGTCAAAAAGTATCAATTGAACTTGAAGAAGGTGATCGTTGGGGCCAAAACGTAGTTCAATAAACAGGAATTTTAAACATAATGTGGTTTCAATTCGGAAAGACAAACATAGGGGGTTTACGTATATTATGCAATAACGCGGCAAGTTGCAGATGTTCTTTAAAGCTTCTATCTCACACGATCCTTGTGATCAACTAAATGGTCCATATTTACTCGATAAATGGAGTTAGATGAAGAACACGTTATACGTACGTGGTCTATTAATTAAGTGATGAGACTGGCAACGTAGCGTTCAATCTGGCAACACTGGAGGCGCAGGCTTTGGAGCGGAGACAAGGGAACATGAAAATGAACTTCAGTACAAGTTTGAATTCGCTCGAGTCATTTGGTTGTCCGTAGAGATTTTTTGTGAAACAGTTTTTTCTATTGTGTTCTAAAAATGAGTGAGTAATTTGGAGCAACGGTGGGCTATTAGGTTTTGCTTCAGACTTAAGCACAGTGCAACGGAAACTCTTGCTAAGCTTCAGGCCTACGGAGATAGTGTTTTGTTAAGAGCCCCGGTTTTTGTGGTGGTTTAAGGTATTTTCAGAAGGGAGAGAGTCGACTGAAGATGGAACACGAAGCGGAAGTCCTTCATCTTCAATAACCGATGAAAATATTGACAGAATCCGGGATCTTGTCCATTCGGGTAGTCGGTTGACAGTCAGAATGATCGAGGAAGAGTTAAATTTGACTCCCTCCACCGTTTATCAGATCAAGAACAACTGGGTGTTGCATCATGATAATGCTCCTTGTCACACAGCAATGTCAATAAACGAGTTTTTGGCCAGTAAAAACATTCCTGTGGCTCCTCAGCCTACTTATTGGCCTGACTTGAGTCCTTGTGACTTTTTTCTCTTTCCGAAATTGAAAATTCACCTCAAGGGAACTCATTTTCAAACGGCTGTAACCTACTAGCTGGAGGTTATTCCAGTATCGGGTTTCCAGCACCGCTATGAGGAGTGGAAGAACCGTCTCCAGCGCTGGCTTCAGAAGGAAGTTACTTTGACGGTAACAACAGAAAAGTGAAATTTGAATAAAAAAATTAGTCTCATTACTTAATTTACAGACGTGTGATTAAGAGACGTGTTCGTATAAAAATTATCATATGCCATAGGTCATGGATCTGAGAACATTCGCGTCCAAGATCATGGGATGGCATGGGTAAGGATTATTTTCTGAGATGTTCAATCATTAGTTTACTTCAATGGATCACAGATAACGGAAGTTTTAAAAACTAATATTCGCCGCATGATTGTTCCAGAGTGTGACTGAAAACTGATATTTCAGATTCTCAACATCCTACAAACTAGACGCGGTCGCTGAATACCGGAAATTAGTAATGCACAAAACTAAAGTTTAGAGTTCTAATATCTACAGCACAATAAGCGAAGCACATATAAATAAAATTCACTAGAGAGAGACATTACATTGGGAAACTTTGTACATGCACCCCCACCATCAAAAGTTAACAAAAAGCATTCAAACATACGGAAAAACTCACAAGGTATAATCTAGTATCAATGCAGACCAAAGGTCCTTTAGATTTTGTATCGAAATGTTGCAGCCACGTTGTATAAAACTTTTCTGTATGCCATTCCAGACCATATTTTGTTCTGTAGGCTTACTGCTTTTGTCTTTGAGTCTCAGTCCCGTTTCTACCATAAGTTTTGAGAGTATTATTTGTTTTTGGGCAGTATCTAACCTATAAATCGGAGGGAAACAATATTTAAAATAAACCGTTGAGCTTTTAACGCAGAGAACATGTTCCATATTTTTAAGTTATATGGACGCCAAATGTGCGGCGTTATGCTTTTAGGGCGATAGGTAATGAATATGATGACGCTGAGGCTGGACAACATGACCGCCACGCTAAGCACCCTATTTACGATTGCGTCATGTCAAAGTTGACGGACCATAATCAAAAACTATTCATAACTATCACTAATTATTCAGCGCAGCGCAGTCCATCCAACAAATTCGGTGAAGGTAGAAGGAGCAAATATGGATTTAATTTGGATCCAATTAGTAGTCAGGATGCAAGAGCAAACCAGTCGATCAGGCTTAATACGTTGACTGACTACTTCGAGATATCTTGTAGGCTGTTTACCTGCCAAGGGCGCCAACTACAGGTTATATGAGCCGCTTTCCATTGCCTCATTTGTGTTACTCGGAGTAACTCGGAGCTACCCACCACCTCTCAATACCGTTATACAGTGCTATAGAGTGTCAAGCACCTGAGCTACGGTGTTATACGCTCCGAAATAGTGGGATAACGAAAATGACAATGTGTCAAGATTGTTAGGTTGGGTGTTTTCATCATTTTTCTTTTTTTTTGCATTAAACTCACATTAAACCAATACCAGACAATGGCGGATGGTACATTGGAGATGTTCCTGAATAATAAAGATCACAAGAGCGTGTAAGAATGCAGGTTCATTGCGGCTTGTAGTTGGCTTCATCTATAACTAGACGTTTTGAAAATAATTTTGAATGTCTACACTAAAATATGAATTCGACATATATATCCAAAAGCTTTACAAACAATAAAACTGCAGACCTCTGACGTGTTGCGCCTTCATTCTAAAATGATCATCAGGCATCAATTGGATAGTCTGACAATGCTTCTGAAAATAGGCAAAATTTGTTTACATTTTTATTGTTTGGCAGTGTGATACAAATTGTCGACGTCAAAGCAAAACATCAAAAAACAGCTTAGGTTTTCATTGTCGCGTTCCCGTGCACATTTGCTAGAGCAGTTTGGGAGTGGCACACTCCATGCATACAACACTCTCCATTCAAAAGCACTGGTAGCTGCTGTATGAGATCACAACCCCAACTGGCTACTGGAATATCGCTAATTTGGTAGGCAAATCTATCCAAAAGCAAGTATGCACTAAATATACGATATTTTGACTTTCAAACATATAGGCCTGGCTCCTTCAAACCTACTTGAAGTCGTTGAGAGCATCTGACTGATTATTCAATGAATTTAAAATCTGTAGAAACGCTCCGGTTAAGAGCGACGTGATTGATGCTACGGAAAAATACCACCTGAAAAATGGAGTAACGTGACGTCAAAACACTTGAAGCAATCGGGAATTATATTATCTTTATTTGGAATTTACTTTTTATATATTAATGAGGATTTTACCTGCTCCTAGAAACAATGCAGAAGCCTCTCAATAAATTTTTCTTTAGTAATTTTACAAAATGACAATTACACAATCAATTTCGACAACAACTTACTCTTTCAATGCAACAACTGGTTTGTCTTGGCTGACTTGGCTGTGTAGTAGATTTTCTTGATGTTGCTCAAAATACTGGTTTGCTAGTGACAATACTCGTCTAAATACCTGGATTTCTTTCAATGTAGATTCACAAGACGGACATAATCCTAAAGGAACAAAGCTCTGCAAATACAAATGTATATTACATTCATATCAAACAAGGTAAGTTGGTTCTATCAATTTCCAGTTCATAAAAAACCTTGCCATAATAGAACTCCATTCAATAACACACATATTCGATATGATACGGGAAAGGATGACAATAATGGTCAATGACATGAATACCCGACTAAGTTGGAGAATGTTGATAAAAAACATAATACAAGCGGGAAATGGCGTTGATGCCTATCAAACAGCAGCTAGTGATGATCAAGTCGACTGTAGTTATTTTACTATTCAAAGTATGGAGTCGGATGGAATTCACCGCTGACTTGCGGAAAACGGCGTCATATAAAATAATCAGAAGCATTTTTAAACATTGAGAAATACAGCAACACTACTGTTGGGAGTTATAGAAGAATTGCAAAATCCCGATTTTATTAATATTGGTTTAATATTGGATGTTTTTTGAGATTTTTTTTTTCTTCAAAGTCCTGCTTGGTCATTATCGTCATCGACCCGCACGAGTATTATTTAAAAAACCTATAAAACGTAAAAAAACCTACAAAATGTCATCTTGCGGACTAGGTAGTTTTTAGGGTGCAAACAGTCATTCCACGTTTGCTCACTAGGATCTATGGAGGAATAGCTCAGCTACACGCATTGTTGGTTGCGTATGTTTTGTGAAGCCGAGTAGTCGGTAGTTTTCATCTCTGAGAAGAAAGTTGGTTGAATAGCAAGAACGCATCTGGATGTGTATTGGTCCGCATGTGTGCAAAATCGGTGATATTTGCTGTGTATGAAAATCATTACTGAATATGCTGCCAATAAAGTATATCTATCAGCTGTGCCCGGCGGGTTATTTATATGTTGTCCTTTCTGACGACAGGTTATGTTCAAAGTTATAGGTTACGATTTTTTACGTTTCTTGGTGTTTTCAAACACTTTGAGGAGAATTACGGGAAATCACCACCGCTCCCGTGTTGTGTGTAATTACTGTTAGCATGTGTACACAGTGTATACTGAATATAATTATCTCTTATCTCTCTCATTTTTGGAATTCAGCAAATTTTCAATATGGATAAGAAAAAGTGGATGCGCAACAAGTAATTTAGGAATACAGTATGGGAAAAACCATTATTATACATTATGATGAGGAAGAGAGATGGAAATATACAAAAGTATGTAGGTGCGTGAAATACAATCGATTGTAGGATCCTATCTGGCAGCATCGGAGTGTGACGGACAACGGGGTAAAGTAGAATAGTGATAAAAGAGAGAGATGGCAGAACTGGCGCTGGCGCCTACCGCTTAGACGGATGCGCTCAACAAATGCGATTTGTTTCTCCCATTCGCAGAGTTGCCGATACCAATATGTCATATTTCTAAGAAATCTAAGTCTACCCAAATTTCGGGAAAAATAGCTGCGGATTCCACATAAGAGTATTCCAAAAATGAAAAAAGTTCAAACTATTAAAATTGTATTAATGTTTCATGGTTCAAATCATATTTTTCATGTTTGTATATTGTTGTATAAATGATTTTGTAATCCCTATTCTTGTTGCCAGTAGAGATACAACAGTATTGAGAGAAATCATGGACCGCTAGATAGGGCTACAACTACCATATGACTATCAAATAGTAGTGATAAACAGGGTTTGTTTATAGCACAGTTGCCTGGTGTGGCGAATTTGCGCCATAGGGGCGATTTGACAACTTTGAAGGACAACTATAACGGGTACTATGGTGCCCGGTATTCGGGAATCTGGCAATACCTGATGATTCCTAACGTTTATTACGCCAGATTGTTTGCTGACTTGCGCAGAACAACATGACAATCAACGTGACTGAGCACCTGGTAACCCTGGTTTAAGGTGTTATATTTAAAGAGCTTGGGGCTGTTAGGTATCTAGGTCACATTTTTTAATGTATTTCGAGAAATCCGTAATGTTGAGTAAATACTAGATCACGTTTCTTGCTTAGTTTGCTGAAAATTCTACAATAGACGTACCTTTTGAGAAACAGAGATTTGGTGACGACAAAATCGTAAAAATATAACGCATTTTCGTGAAATAATTTCTTTGTTGAAAAGACTGTGGCTTAATGACCCATTGAACGAGTATAGTGTCCCGCTCCGCTTTGAATATTCGAAACACTATACTCCAGCAGCATTCAGCTTCAATGTTATCTTTATGAAGTTCTAACGTCTAGGCCATGCTGATTAAAAGCTTGAATGAATCAACACTTAACTCTAAATTCCCCACAATTCGGGAAGCTCTACTCAAATTGGCAACACAGCGTATCTGCCTATTATTCTGATTCGTGATACAGGTCTGCAGTTAACGGTAGGAAATATGTACGAATAGCGATGAATGTAGACGAGCCGATGCGCTGTTGCCAAGAAATGATTTCCCGTGTATAACAATGGTTTTTCCTAAGGTGTATGAAATAGTTCATAGTAATGTTAATATTTGTTTCCAAACTTTTGTCCGCTACTGTATATGGCATATTTCGACAGCGTACAGTGAACATAATTATTTCTTATCTCTCTCATTTTTGAAATTCAGCAAATTTGCATATGTTATTTTCAGAATGGATAAGAAAAAGTGGATGCGCAACTAGTTTCTAGTTTTGAATCTCAAGTAAGTGTATTTGAGACAAGAATCCAATGGAATTATCATCAACACATATTATTAGCACACAAATCCTCACTATGCATCCATGCATTGAAGTTACCTCTAGTAATGCCTTCTCTGAAGCAGATTTTACATAACTGAAGCCTCATGACGTTTAGGCAACACGTAAAACTACAAAGCGAGTTCACAACGTTACCATCAGCTAGTGCTAAGTTAACATCTTGTAGAAAAACCTACATAATGTCACAAAACATCAATATAATGTCAAACAAATCGACATATTTTTCAAAGCCGTTAAAATGAGAATATTACAGATAGAGGGAAGAAAAATGTGGTTAACATTGTATATGAATCCGCGTAACAAAAGTTAAGAATAAACAGACTTCAGTACAAATAAGTAAAATGCGCATAAATATTATTCTCACGAAAAATTACTTACAGAAGGGTAATATTTAGTGAACATGCTATTAAGCAATCTGCCCAGTTCAGTATTTTCGTTTAATGATATCACATTTGTATAATTGGTGGTCGAACATGCTCGGCAACCCACAAAATTGCCGTAACTGCCTGGATTATATTCCTCTTCAATTGCTTTTTCTTTGTACATACACTTCTTCTTGAAAAGATAATATATCCATATGTTCCGGTAACAGTTAGTGCAAGTAACAGGAATTGGGTTTGTTGTAATTGTCTGAAAACGAATTACCAAAATTGTAGATATACCAACGACACCATCATACGCAAGCAATGGAGTACTTCTCATGAATATATCAATAAAATGTATGTTACTGTTAGTACAGTAGACTCAAACATCAGAGACAGTGTTAGTGTAATTGGCAATACTGCTTCGGCTGTGCGTCCAGCAGAGTGTGATCAAGTAAGGTGGTGACAGAGGGTTGAATAACACGTCGTAATATATGTTGGCAGCAGCCAGCCAGTGCTGACATTTACACGCTCTGCGTATAGTCCAGAAATGATCTACCATTGGTATCTACGCATCCGCTCCCACAAATATTCTGCTCCGCTTTGTTGCATAATTATCTTATTCAATAGGACCCTTTTTAACGAATCTGTATGTTGCCAGCGCCGAAACTGCTTCAGAAATTGTTTAAATGAATTCCAAAAATGTTTTTTTATCGCTATAGACCAAGTTCTTTTAGGTTTTCTGGGTCACTCTCAACAAAAAAGGTCCTTATGAACTTTTCTATAAAATTATTAGTTTTCGACATATGTGTGTATAAGGGAGTTAATATTTGAAAAAATTGGGAAAGTACCATTTTAGACCCCGAAAAAAATATGAAAGATGGTGTCAAGTAGGTTTACTATGCACTTCTCACACAACGCCGTTATGAAGGATATGTTCAGCACAAACTAGATTCTCTGAGAACAAAGTCAGTCAAACAGGTCGATACAATTAATAATAATAATCGTCGTTATTCCCATTATACCTAACTTTATGAAGATGTGATACACTGCAGGATATTAAATAGAGAAATGGAATAAACAGAACTTATCTTTATACTACAAACTTACTTTTCCTACTTGTTAGCATGTTATAACACGCTAATGATTTACATGTGTCGTATCGTACAAATATTGTTTAAAGCACTATCCTAATTTTACGGGCCAGTAATTCTTTAAGATCTAAAGCAAGTGAATTGAAATTACTGATGGATTGATACGTAAAACTTCTATGAAACACTATGCTGTGATGCGGCAGAAATATGTGTAAAACCAAACCAGAACAACAGAACCAATGTGTTAAGGGCTAGTGTACAGAGAAATCAATGATGTGTGAAATATGTCTAATAGGTGCATAGAATTTCCAATGTTGGGAGCGTATAGGTGTGCTAAAGAAAATGGGATCGAGAAGGGAAGCTTGTGCGATTTTTGACCTATTTTCTTCGCCGCCACTGAACCGATTTTCAAAATTACAAAGCTTTTGCGTACTTTGCATAGTAGTAATATTGTGTAAGGCATTTAAAAATGTTACAAGTTCAGACCTTTACCTATTACACATTCATATATATATATATACATATACACACGTACACATATACAGGGTGGCCCATCCATGTGTGGACGGAATATTACTCATAAACAAATACATTTTGAGAACATCCATTCATGGCATGTTATACATGACATTTGAGAGTACATTTCTAAAATATTGGCAATTATACAGGGTGTCCCAATTTTGACCTACATATCAAAGTTGTGATTTTTTAAATGGAATGCCTATTTTATAGCATATTTGGATAAACCAATTCAAAAGAAGAAAATTGATATAACATACTATGAGGTTTTGGTAATTAGCTACTGAGATGTAAGGAGTTTTATCCAGAAGAACCGTCCAATTCGCCAACCCCTCAATCCGCCATATTGAAATTTGGAGTACTGAATTTTGTATCAAAAAAAACTTACGCACCTCAGCTTTTATCTTATTTATTACTTGTTCGAATTTACGTTTTTGCTCATACAGGGTGGTCAAAAACGCGAATTGTACTTTTTCTCAAAAAATTCAAATGCCCCTGTATATTTGTGCAAGTTTGGATTTGATTTTCTATAAGCCTTCTTTTGGTATAAGGTTGGATTCAGATAAAATCACTAGATTTTGAGTTATTAAGCTTTTAATTGAACAACACACCAAAAATAGGGAAAAAAATCACATTATCCATGGAAACAAAAGACAAACAATGGGCTAGTTCCATATTGCTTACTACTGTACTAAGAGTACAGATTTGAGGTAAAAACTAATAGCAATCAGAACAGTATAAATCAGCTTCAAGCGTAATAGAGAACAACAACTATAACAACAACATAAACAAACAGCTATCACTACTCAACACCTAATCTACAAAAACTGTTCGAAAATATCTCCACCATGTTGAATACGCAGCCGTAGTCTTTGGATAAATGACGGTTGCAGATCTCTCAGCATGTGCGCCCTTATGTTCAGAAAAGCATCCTTAATCCTTTTCTTCATATTTTCCGGGGTAGATGGTGGATATCTATGAACCTCTCGCTTAACGTAGCCCCATAGAAAGAAGTCCATCGGTGTCATATCTGGTGATCCAGGAGGCCAAGATATAGGCCCATCACGACCGATCCCACAATTACTCCAGGTGTCCAAATAGTTACGCACACGATTATGATAATAGTGAGATAAAGAAGTAGATATGCATCCGAGTTTGCAGATTGACATCCTCAAAAATCAAATCTGTACTCTTAGTGGCAATATGGAACTAGTCCACTGTTTGTCTTTTGTTTCCATGGAAGATGTGATTTTTTTCCTTAATTTTGGGGTGTTGTTCTATTGAAAGCTTAATAACTCAAAATCTAGTGATTTTATCTGAATCAAACCTTATACCATATATATATATAAGCAAAGAGGACTCTTTATATTTCTTTTAATTCTCTCTAGCTTTCATCAGGAGATGATGGCAAAGTCCATTGAAAGCTAGAGAGAATTAAAAAAAGTATAAAGAGACCTCTTTGCTTAAATTTTGTCGAAGTACCCAACAAAAGGCGGAAGCTTTAATTTTTCACCTAACTGGTCTAGACGACAATGACCACGTCTCAAGTTATATATATATACATTTTAATGGCCAATGCATCACGTTTCTCGTAAGGATTGAAAGAAAAATAAAGCTGAATATCGTCAGCATGCAAATAAATGTACCTCACAACTTCGGAGACATTGGGAAAGGTTTCAGGTATAAATACTAAAAATCAGAGGTCCTAAAAAGGAGCCTTGTGGAATACTCTTATTGGAGGACATACCTTTATCTGTTTCTACATATTGTGTTCTGTTAGTTAAATAGTGGCACATAAGCGTGCTAGCAGATTCGGAAAACCCTATATAGTGTAAAATACCAAACAGCATTTCGTGATTTAGTTTATCAAATACCTTGGAGTAGTCCAAGAGCACGAGAGCGGTGGTTTTTCCGGAATCTGTTGCTTTGAAGATGTCGTCAGTTACATTTAACAGTGCAGTTTCGCAGCTGAATCCTTTCTTAAATCCCGATTGATGGTCAGGTAACAAATTGTTCTCAGTTAAATAATCTCTTATTTGTTGGTCCAATATAATCTCCATTAGTTTTAATAGCACTGGTAAAATACTTATGGGGCGAAGATCATTGTAGTCATTAATTTCAGACTTCTTTGATATTAGTATAATTTTGGCAATTTTCCATGAGTCTGGAAATTCTCTATCTAAAATACAGGAGTTTATTATACTTGTAATGTAGGGGATGATTTTATGGAAACACAATAAGATCATTTCAAGATTTAGACCATCAGCACCTATGGAAAGCGATTTAATTCTGATTAGTGCATTTTTAACGACATCCTGAGAAACTATGTGGAATTCAAAAAGAGTGTTGACGTTAGTACGCCTGTTGCTATAATAGTAATCCAAAGATGAGCTTGCTCGAGAGATCTGAAGAAAATAGTTATTTAAGTCATCCGGATTATTCAGCTGATCGGGAATACAACCTGTTTTTTTTGTTGCTCATATTTAAATTTAATAATTTTTTCCAACTCACTTTACAGCACAGTATTTCAAATAATTTTTCATTATATATGGCAATATTCATTTGATTTTTCATTTGTTTATAATTTTCCCAATTGGCAGCAGTTTTGTTTTTCTTAAATTTCCGGAACTTTTCGTTTTTTAGTTCAATCATGCGTTTAATAGAATACGTTAACCATGGGGGTTTCCGAACTTTAAATTGAATTTCCTTTACAGGAGCTAGTACATCAAAGATATTGAACAGTACTTCAGTCAAAAATAAGACCTTTTCATCAACTTTTGGTAAATAGATCAATTATTGTTCGAAAGGAGAAATTTCCAAAAATCTAGATTGCCTATGTTTCTAAAGCGGAATTTTTTACAACAATTTGCAACAGATTTATGTAGTATACAAAAAGTTAACGAATGATCGGAAATATGTGACGTATTTTTTGTACCAACAGTAAAATCAGTCTTATCAGCAGGTATAAAAATTACGTTCAGCAAGGTTAGGCTGTTTTTTCTAACTCTAGTAGGTTCTTTGATTACCTGTACTAGATCAAAACCTTCAATACAATCATAAAGCATATTACAATAACGGTTTGAAGAGTCAAGAACATCAACATTGAAGTCACCACCACAAATTGTCTTCATATCTATGAATTGTCTCCTCGAAGTGTTCCATGAAGTCGATGATATTAGTTTTAGGTGGTCTGTAGCATAGCTTACTAGATGCAATTTCAATGAAATCCAAATTCCTCAGAAATTAAACTTAAATAGGAAAAGACAACTGAAAACTTCAAATTATTCTTAATATACATACCAATCTCTGCTCCTAAACCATTTCTATCTTGATGAATAAAACAGTAATTTTCTATGGATACTAAATTGTTTTCTATACCTGAATGAAGCCAAGTTTCCGAAATCCCAACGATGTCAAATTGATGTTGTTGTACAAGATTTTTGAGATCTGAGAAATGAAGCACAAGAGATCTTACTTTCAAAAAAGCGACTGAAAGTTTTTTTATTCAGTGAGAAAATGAAAAATAAAGTTTAGAATAAGATTCTACAGAAATTAGAATAACAAAAGTAAAAGGTTTTATTGCGAACATGTTTAGCAGGTCCAGGAACTAATTAGCAATCTTCAATACATCATCTTCATTTTTTATCATAACTTTTTTCCCATCCACTTGAGTGAAGATATTCCCATCAATTGTCCATATCATTTTGCTTGACAACTTATCACGTGCATACTGGAACAGTTGGTACCTATTCTTCACTAGTTCTTCAGTGATAATCATTTTTGTGCCTTTAAGTTTTTTCTTGTTAAAATATATTAAGCTTCTATGAAAGGAGCTATCAAAGGCAACTATAACAGCTCGACATTTCGAGCTTCTTGCCGTCCCAGCACGATTATTTTTAAAAATGTCGTGCAACTTACGTTCCAATAAATCAGAAATACATTCAGGAATGCCATAAACTCCAAGTTGATTTAGTTTAGAAGTCTGTTCCAGCTCATCTATTTTCGCACTCATATCTTCCTGGTCTTCCCATAATTGACAACCTTTTTATCGATATCGTTAATCTTCCTTGATAATTCCTCAATTTGTTCACTCATTTTTGCGTAAACTTTAGTAACGAGTTTAACAACCAGCATATCTTTGAATTCTTTGTGGTGCATGATTTCTTTTACAAGGTCCTTTTCCATATCCTGGGTAATGTTTTGCAACTAGGTTTTTTGCCTCTCAGTAAATACCATGTTTTTGTATATTCAGATTCCGTCGATCGAATAATACAATCAAATTGCACTTGTACAACAGTTAATGCAATTTTAAAACTCACTACTCTGCTGTATGCAAGTTACACAACACACTGTGTAAAAATTAGCTGGAACAATAACGTTTAAGCGGACTGAAACTATGAAAATAACTGGAACTGCGTAGACACGTCTTCACTCGTTGAAGGTAGACATAATAGATTAGCGGTCAGACAGACACACAGACACGGACCAACAGAAATTAGTGGCGTTTTTTTTTGTGATGTACATGTCATATAACATTCAACAAGCATAGCACAGTTTCGAAAATTATCGCGATTACAATTCGTCCCCACCAGTAGGCGTGAGAAGTGAAAATAAAATTTTAATGCTGCTAAGGTTACTAAATATTCTTTAAACGCCCATTAATAAAATCTCATAGCGTATGAGGGGATTTAAAGCTTGTCCAGTGCGAAAAAACAATTTTTGGAATTAGCGAGGGAATTTGTGAGCATGTCACATTGAGGCACCGCCTTAGAGATCCGACGTGTGGTACCTCCACGTTTCATAGTCTCAGATCATCATTTGTTTAAAAACACTGTTCAAATGATGTGCTACACAATTTTGAGCCTGGCAACATGTATATTCATTAGTAGAGCTCATTTTTTAATAAAATTATGCAATAAAAACCAAACAATATTTTTACTAATGGTGCGAAGATATCTCCTGGACTAATGATACTCGAATCTTGTAATATTAGTGGTCATATATCATATATACATATAAAACAAATATCCACAGATATCCTCTTCTTTAAGCAATCAACAAAAGGTAAATTAACATTTTTAATAGCTTTGATATGGAATCCTATACAAGATAAACTTTAGCAAGAGATTGATTGCACCATTTGAAGTTATATGAATGGATTAAGAAGTATTGTAATATGTGTTTTTACAGCAAAATGGAAAACTTACCATTTCTGAAGTACAAAATTGTAACACTTCAAGTAGAGGTACAGTGCTGGTATTGCCAAAAATTTGCTGCAAATAACAGTTGTTGAGATCAACAGATTTTACAAAACAAACCCCACATTAAGTATACTAACCTGTACACAATTTGGCATTGTTGATTTTATGTTATAGTTTAATACAGCATATTTTTTATCTTCTATGGTTACCAAGCAAGTCCTACATATTTTTTTAGGCATATGGTATACAGGAAAATTAGCCAATACACCCTAAAATAAAATGCATACATGATGTTTAAGAATTTCAACAACATTTTTGAAATTACTTATATTCTAGTAAAAGTAAAATTCCTACCTCTCTGTCTATGTGAAAATGCCTTTCACAAAACCAAATATTCTGAAGTGAGAAATCAAATTTTCTACCTGCAGCAGCTAACCAAAAATCTCTCAATACAGGATCTGCAGGTAATGAATAAAATGTTTTCTTAAGAAAATGATCAGAAGTAGAATCACATTCTGGTACCCAACACTGTATCTGTGGCATTGTGCCTAGCTTAGCAGATATACTTTTTTGTGGGATTTGATCCAATAGTACTGGTTTTCTTGGATTATCCATTGTTACTAAAAGGCAGGAAGTCAAACACAATAAATATTATTTGATCACATATTTTAATGTCAAGTAAAATATAGGGCAAAAATTGACTATGATAAGCAATGCCAAAATATACCCAATTAAAATATGTATTACATAGGTGCCAGACAGGGATTGAAGATACTAGTGTCATCTGTGAGACAGTAGTAGAAACAAAACTCAAACTCTTTCCGAACTTAGGGCCATATCATCAGTTATTCCTACATTTGTAGGATGCATTTATAGCCTCTTTAATTTTCATAGTTTTTCCTGTCCTTCAGAAAGGCAGGGGTATTTCCAGATTTCTACTGTTTTGTTAAAGTATTTTGAGGTTATATTTTCTTTTTGAATCCTAAGAAATTTCAGGCTGATAAAACTTGATTTTTATCACACAAAACAGTAGACATCTAGAAATACCACAGCCTTTCTGGAGGAGAAAAAAGACTATGAAAATCAAGGAGGCCATAAAGTGGTAATACAATTGTAGGAACATCTGATGATACAAATTCATTTGTGGTTCTGCTACTATCTCATAGAAAGCGCTACAATGGTTGGCTATATTCAGGTAGAATATATTAAGCAATGGTTAAAGTATTGCTATTGATTATTACTGATGGCAGCAAAAATTACAATCGAAGACTATAATTCAAGAACTAGTTAAGTCCATTAGATTTAAGTTCTCAAGCAAGAAACAACAATTGTTGATACCAATTATGAGTAGAGAAGGATTTAACTATGAGTTAGTATAAATCTTATAAGATTGTAGCCTTGTTTCTTCCAATGAGTAATACATAATTTTAAGCAATGCAGAAACAGGTAAATAATAACTCAATTTAGTTAGAAGTTATTCCTCACTAGCTCTTGCATTGGTGTCTTCATCTGATATTGAGCAAGTTTGACATGCTACCACTGGTATAGTTTGATACATTTCACAAACTCATCTTTTTTGGTGCCAATTACTACCCCCTTTTAAACGGATGCAAAAAGGAGAGGTGTTATAAGTTTAACATGTGTAGGTGGTAGGCATGTGTGGCATTAAAGCTCCCCAACAAATGAATTTAAGTGTTTTTTCAATCAAAAGTATTGTATTTCATAATCATCTAGAGCAAATATCAGTGCTGTAGTAAACTGGATAAGACTGATCAAGAGGCAGAAAGTGACATGATACATGCACCACAAATCCAATTGCGGATGATGACACTTCCATACAAGAATGACCAAATTGAGAATGTAAACATATTTTTCTAAGCTGATCAAAGAGATTTGGTTTCAAACTTTTGAAGATCTTTGACTGGGTCAATGAGGGGGAAAAGAGTGGCATAGGCATTAAGATCGTGTCCATGGTTTTAGCATCACACATGATCAAATATTTCACATTGTAATCTGTTCCAAGTATAGCAGTTCATTAAAGTTGTTTTCATACTTCACTGCATTTACAAAATTTTACAATTATATTACAAGATGTATTCCATGGGGAATTTTTTTGCGCAAATCGAGAATCTGTCTATTACGATTTTTTTGCAACAAAGTGTAATATATCCTATGTAACTTGATATTATCTTACCTTCACAATTTTACAATCATCCTATTATATGATAATTTCAGGATACAATGAATGAGTATCAAGTATATGCCCTGCATGAGGAAGATCCAAAGATCACACAAAAAGCAGTTCAAGACAACTTTCACACCAGAATTTATCAAAGTGTAATGTTAAGACACTGTTACACTGCCTTATTGGATTTAAAAAATTACAAATACAAACATTTTTATATAAAGCAAATCAAAACAGAAGACACCACACACGTGCCACCATTGTGCCACACACCACAACACAAAACAACTGAAGGTTTAATATCCCTGGGTTTAATTCCATGCTATTCAATGGCAATACGGTGAGTTTGAGTTATGTGGTTGTCAGCGGCCATTTTTTGAGGGTACGACACGGTTGCCAGATTGTGCATTAATAGACCCCAACGTTGCGAGCTCTACAGATCTTATAACAGCATGTTGTGTTATTAACATTTTGCGCTATCTTGACGAATATTCGTGATTTTTTGTATATTAAAATAGCAACGTCAATTACACTAGCTGTTATAAGATCACTCATATCTACTTACTAATCTGGAAAGTTTCAGAAGAAAAGCATATACTGCAAATATGTACCTAAACATATTTATTATATAAATCTCATATATTTTTCTACAAACAAATCAGTATTAACATTATTATGGTCCAGATGTTTTCATTCCCCAGCCTTTGTTGGCACCTGCATAAGTCAAAAATTAGGAAAAAATTGAACTGTGTTGATATGTTACTACAATTCAGATTTCTTTTTTTATTAGAACAATAATATTATTTTACTTGCCCCCAAAATTTTTTGATGAGCGGAGCAGCATAAAACCATGCTAAATATGCAAATTTTAAAGTCAAAGTGGATTCACAGAAAAGACCATGGCCCATCTGAAACCGCCTTGTGGGCACCCCTGTTATTGTTCAATAACATATGGCATCGATTTCATTGAAATTATAGTGAGCTTAAAATGAAGCATGGAAACTATTTTGGACAAAAAGCAGTATAAATCAACACTGGTTAGTAGATACTGGTGCACTCTGGGCGCCCCCCACCACTTCCACTTTTTGGCCACGCCCACCACATCCACCGCGTGCTCTGATTGGCGGATCAAACGGCGGGAAATTTGAACGGGGTTGATGGTATATGTTGATTGGCGGGAACCGCTAGATCCACCACGTGCTCTGATTGGTGGATCAGACGGCGGGAAGTTTGAACGGGTTGATGGTATATGTTGATTGGCGGGCCCCGTTAGATGGCGCACCCGACCGGAAGTGATTCAGACAGCCGACGATAGTAAGGTGTAGTATAACGTCTATGCGTAAGCGATGTGACTCATTTCATGTTTTGCGGTAAATATTTGCATATAGATCGATAAAAGCCCATGAATAATGATATTTATAGATGCAATTCTGCTGATTCAGTTTAAATGGAAAAACGTATAAAATTCGCGGGAAACAATGCGTATAGGATGATCTCAATAATCAACACGTCATATTCAGTGTGCATATAAAAATGGAATTGCTCATATATGTGGTGCATACAGTTAATGTTAGTTAATTTTTAACATTGATACAATATTGAAAACATAGTACAGTCTATATTGTGTATCTAATAAATTCAACAAGGCAATCACCTACGTCGCAAATGAGGTTAGGTTCAGGGCAGGTGTTGTCGTAGCGGTGATATGCAAGAAGTACCGGGCGGGGCTGTTAAGCATGGGTGAATGGGCAGGAAGCGCAGGCTGTCAACGAGTTAATACTGACCAACGATAACAGCGGTGACCTTGAAACACTGTGGTCAGTTAAAAAGTGGTGGGGGTAAAATCGAGATTATAAATACCTATGAATCACCGCAAATTATCTTGTCAGTTATCTGCAGCGAACAGACGTGCTCAGTTCAGATTTAGTCGCTAGTTAACGTTTTAGTTTTTAAAAAATGGAAAAATTCTTCATCGTTAAGGATTCTACTAAGAAGATTAAAAAATTTAATCTATATGGGCGAGAAGTGGAATTTAAAATACGACCTATCCCTAAAGACGTCGAACCTGTGGGATGGATCAAAGACGCTCTGGAGGAAATAGTAGCCAAAGGAACTGAACATCTCCAGCCCAGTGATCAAGTTGGATTCACTTTCTGTTCCAAAGACTTTACCCGCGGTCAAGGATGGATAGCTTTTAAATTGTTTTCCGACGTTTCAACTGAGGACATATGGGAGAAGATATCTTCCATCTATCAGTCAAATTCTGTGGGTTGAATACCGAGACTTTTTGCTTGGGTATTACGTCCGTAAGGTTGCCTGCTGGTCGTGGTAGAGCTCAGAATTTCAATACCTTTGATGAGGAATGCGCCAAAAGAAAAGGCATTATCACCGTTAAAAACACCGATAATTTGTGTCTCCCACGAGCCCTTGTCATCGCCATGGCCCATTTGAACAAAGACAAAGATTATAGCAGAATCCGCCGTGATCTAGTAGATACTGGTGCACTCTGGGCGCCCCCCACCACTTCCACTTTTTGGCCACGCCCACCACATCCACCGCGTGCTCTGATTGGCGGATCAAACGGCGGGAAATTTGAACGGGGTTGATGGTATATGTTGATTGGCGGGAACCGCTAGATCCACCGCGTGCTCTGATTGGTGGATCAGACGGCGGGAAGTTTGAACGGGTTGATGGTATATGTTGATTGGCGGGCCCCGTTAGATGGCGCACCCGACCGGAAGTGATTCAGACAGCCGACGATAGTAAGGTGTAGTATAACGTCTATGCGTAAGCGATGTGACTCATTTCATGTTTTGCGGTAAATATTTGCATATAGATCGATAAAAGCCCATGAATAATGATATTTATAGATGCAATTCTGCTGATTCAGTTTAAATGGAAAAACGTATAAAATTCGCGGGAAACAATGCGTATAGGATGATCTCAATAATCAACACGTCATATTCAGTGTGCATATAAAAATGGAATTGCTCATATATGTGGTGCATACAGTTAATGTTAGTTAATTTTTAACATTGATACAATATTGAAAACATAGTACAGTCTATATTGTGTATCTAATAAATTCAACAAGGCAATCACCTACGTCGCAAATGAGGTTAGGTTCAGGGCAGGTGTTGTCGTAGCGGTGATATGCAAGAAGTACCGGGCGGGGCTGTTAAGCATGGGTGAATGGGCAGGAAGCGCAGGCTGTCAACGAGTTAATACTGACCAACGATAACAGCGGTGACCTTGAAACACTGTGGTCAGTTAAAAAGTGGTGGGGGTAAAATCGAGATTATAAATACCTATGAATCACCGCAAATTATCTTGTCAGTTATCTGCAGCGAACAGACGTGCTCAGTTCAGATTTAGTCGCTAGTTAACGTTTTAGTTTTTAAAAAATGGAAAAATTCTTCATCGTTAAGGATTCTACTAAGAAGATTAAAAAATTTAATCTATATGGGCGAGAAGTGGAATTTAAAATACGACCTATCCCTAAAGACGTCGAACCTGTGGGATGGATCAAAGACGCTCTGGAGGAAATAGTAGCCAAAGGAACTGAACATCTCCAGCCCAGTGATCAAGTTGGATTCACTTTCTGTTCCAAAGACTTTACCCGCGGTCAAGGATGGATAGCTTTTAAATTGTTTTCCGACGTTTCAACTGAGGACATATGGGAGAAGATATCTTCCATCTATCAGTCAAATTCTGTGGGTTGAATACCGAGACTTTTTGCTTGGGTATTACGTCCGTAAGGTTGCCTGCTGGTCGTGGTAGAGCTCAGAATTTCAATACCTTTGATGAGGAATGCGCCAAAAGAAAAGGCATTATCACCGTTAAAAACACCGATAATTTGTGTCTCCCACGAGCCCTTGTCATCGCCATGGCCCATTTGAACAAAGACAAAGATTATAGCAGAATCCGCCGTGATCGAGGAAAAATACAAGGACAAAGAGCTGTACAACTTGTGGAAAAGGCTGATATTGTTATCCCTGAGGAGGGGTGTGGAATACCTGAACTTCAAAAGCTACAACGATATCTGCAAAACTACAAAATTGTTGTATACAAGTTTGGATGCAAAGGTCGTGACGTCATTTTTGAAGGCGTGTCCGCTGGTCCGACGCTTAACCTAATATATCACGAGGGGCACTACAGCGTCATAACATCCCTCACTGCTGCCTTTTGCTGCAGCTTTTTTTGTGAGAACTGCCACATTCCGTATAATACTAAACAAATTCATAGATGTGATAAACAATGTTATGCTTGTAAAAGATCTCTGGCCTGCCTGAAAACGAAGCACATCAAATGCAAAGAATGTAATAGAAGCTTTTATGGACAAGAATGTTTTAACGCTCATTTACCATCGGTCTGTTCTAAAATTAAAAGATGTGTAGACTGTTTTAAAGTTCACAACGGTAATGATCACATCTGCGGATATATACTTTGTAAAACATGTTATAAAAATCAACCAATTGAACATATGTGCTATATACAGCCTGACAGAAGTATTCCTAAATCAAATGATGTCTTATTAATATTTTACGATTTGGAAACCCGTCAGGAGAAGGAATTACCCAATGGATCTTTACTGCATGAGCCAAATCTATGTGTATTCAAACAATGTTGTGAATCATGTACCGATAATCCTATATGCAAGAAATGTGGCCTTCGAATACAGATTCTTCGATGTCAAGACGTCATTTCTCCATTTATGCATCATATTCTGACACTTCGTAAAAAATTCAAGAAAGTCATTGTACTGGCGCATAATGGTGGAGGATTTGATCATCAGTTTCTACTTCGTTACATTTTAGAGAAGACTAGTCTGTACCCGAATGTAATTATGAGAGGAACAAAATTAATATTGATGGAGGTAGGAAATGTAAAATTTCTGGATTCTCTCAATTATTTTCCTATGCCTCTAACTGCTCTACCCAAGGCGTTTGATTTGAAAGAGCTAAAGAAAGGATACTTTCCACATTTATTCAACACTTTGGCTCATCAGAATTATGTAGGGCCAATTCCAGCGCTCGACTTCTACGATCCCGACCATTTAAAGGAAGACGCTCGGGAAAAATTATTAAAATGGCATGGCGAAAGACAAGCGGAGGGATACGTTTTTGATTTTCAGAAAGAAATCGTTGAATACTGTATCTCCGATGTGGAAATATTGACACAGGCGTGTCTCAAATTTCGAGACCTGATGAAAACCGAAACCACAGTCGATCCCTTCCAGGAAAGCACCACTATTGCATCATGCTGTAACAAAGTCTTTAGACGCAATTTTTTAAAACCTGAGACGATCGGGGTAATTCCAAAAGGGGGCTATAGATGGCGTGAAAATCAGTCAAAAATTGCCATCCAATGGCTGTTGTGGGAGGAACATCAAAGAGGAATCAAAATTCAACACGCCGCTAAGGGTATAGAAACCATTGTTAAGGGACATAAAGTAGACGGTTTTTGTAGCGACACAAATCAAGTGTTTGAATTCCAAGGATGCTATTTTCACGGTTGCCCTCGATGTTTCAAATACAAAAGAAGCAATCCTCTGCATAATGATCCGTTGAATACATTGGAAAGTCGATACGAACAATCAGTTAGCAAAGTAGAGAGACTCCGAAGCCTTGGACTAGAAGTAATTGAGATATGGGAATGTCAATTTCGAGGAATGCTAAACGATGAAATTAGAGCCTTCACAGAAGCACATCCATTGATAATCAATTTACCGATTAACCCCAGAGACGCTCTCTACGGGGGACGTACAGAAAATATCGTTGAATACTACAAGATCAAAACAAATGAATGCATAAAATATGTCGATATATGTTCCCTGTACCCCTTCATCTGTAAATATGGAAAATTTCCGGTGGGTCATCCAAAAAAAATTTACGTAGGTGAAGAATGTGTTACAGCCTCTCTGTCGCAGATGTCAGGACTTATTAAATGCCAGATTCTACCGAACCAGAACTTATATCACCCCGTTTTACCGTCAAAAATGAACAACAAATTGATGTTTGTTAACTGTCAAAAATGTGGTGAAGATTTCGTTCGAGAAGAGTGTCAGCATTCTATTCAAGAAAGAAGCCTAAAAGGAACTTGGGTGATAGAAGAGGTGCTCAAAGCTATTGAAAAAGGTTACCAGATTATAGAGACTTACGAAATATGGGAATACGATACAATTCAGCTCAGTAAAGACCAAGAGGGGTTATTTAGCGGAATGATGAACAAGTTTCTACAAATAAAACAACAAGCTTCAGGATGGCCCAAACATTGCTTAACGGATGAAGAAAAAAACCGTTATATTGATGCATTTTTGGATAGAGAAGACATAAAGCTGGAATTTTCAAAAATTATAGAGAACCCCTGTTTGAGATCGTTAGCTAAACTTATGCTGAATTCCTTTTGGGGTAAATTTGCTCAAAAAGAAAACCAAAACAAAACCTCAATAGTCAGAGACTGTGGTGAATTCTTTGATATGCTGACTAATCCTTCTATTCATGTAAATACAGTTCTACCGGTAAACGAAGAAACCCTTCTCATAACTTGGGAATTTAGAGAAGAGGCCTATGACGTTTCTTCAACGGTTAACGTTGTATTGGCTTCATATGTCACGGCCCTAGCTAGACTAAAATTATATTCATTCTTGGAGAAAGTGGAAGAAAGGGCAGTTTACGTAGATACAGATTCATGTATTTATATCTCTCGTAAGGGATTAGACGACATATCTACAGGCGACTTCATAGGTGATATGACCGATGAGCTCAATGGGGGTTTCATATCAGAGTTTGTTTCTGGAGGACCTAAGAACTACGCCTACAAATATACTACTTTGTCTGGAGAGGAACAGATCGTATGTAAAGTAAAAGGCATATCACTCAACTACAAGGCATCCCAAGTAGTCAATTTTGAGAAAATAAAAGACATGGTGCTGAAGAAATCTGATCCTGTTTCTGTACTTTCTCGACAGCTACGACGTACAAGAGAGCATGCAGTAGTAACAGTCGAGTTTCCTAAGGTATACAAGATAACTTCAATGAAAAGGAAATTCTATGAAGATCATACCTCTGTACCATTTGGATTTAAGAAAATAAAGTATTGATTTATTAATGTATGTAAATATTTTTTAATAAACATGTAAAATAAAATGTATGCAAATGATTTTTTGTTTTTTATTTCCCGCCTAATTGAAAAATATTTTTGCACCCGAAATTGTTCAGCCTTTTTACTCCATATAAAATATTTAAAAGTATGCATTGTTATTATTAAACGCCTGCAGTAATATACACCAAAAAAATTGAGAAGCAGTGTAACCATGTGGAACTTTGTATAATCACAAAAAAACATATCTTGGAAAATAAAAAATACAGCAGATTCATAAGCAGTGTAGAGAGGAAACTACGTAAAAGTAATCGATTATTACTAATAAAATAGAGTTTTGAATTCCTATTTTTACAATAATAATCATTTTACTATCTTACGTGTTGGGCACTGCACTGCACGGGTACCAACACTGTACTGCACGGGCACGAAAAATTGAGAAGCATGATAACCATGTAGAACTTCGTATCACTACGTAAATGGTTATTACGAAAAGTAGAAATAAAAACTATATTTTCGATAATAGCTATACTATTTTTTATGAGCACCGAAAAAATTGAGAAGCACGATAACCTCATAGAACTTCGAAACAGCACCAGAGACAACCGAGGGCTACAGAAAAAAACACATACTGAAAAGGCATAACATCTATCAGCGCTGGTATCCGATAATACTGTTTCCTTTGACATTCGTTGGGATATGAAAACACATATTTGCTTCCCACCGTTATAACGGAAATAATAGTTACTGCAAAAGCAGTTTCACGATAAGACCATACATTAATCTACAAAGTTGATAATAAAACATATGTACTATTAAAATGCAGATATTTTTAAAATTATACAATTAAAAAATCAAAATAATATATTATAAATGGTAGGGGATACAGGGTAAACACCGAAATATACTTAATTTAGAATAGTTACTTATAATCTCCTCAGTTCTTTGGTCAGCCGTATCGACAATTTACCGGTGGGTCCTCTATTTTTGTGCATGTAAAAGGTTAGACTATGGCGCTAGCAAAAAAACAAAATGCAACAAAGTAGAGTCACTTAATATTCTTGTTGAAACTACGGATAGAATATGGTAGAAAGTAACAATCAGATATTGTAGAAGCCATGTAATTGTTTAATTGTTGAGGAAAAAGTATTTTTCATACGCTGACCATGTTTATGTCCGCTTGGTACGCGACCAGATCTTTTCCAAACCTTTGCCCGTAGGGATCATGAGCCTACGACCAAATGTGTCGTCGAAGGGGCATTTTTGGCCAAATTCGGTCGAAACCGATGCTGCGTTCGTACCCTAGAGCCTACGAACAGTGACTCAAACTTAATTTTAATTGATATGCAAAGATCTGGCTAGAATGCTTGAGCTAGTGATTATATGCAATTTATCGGTGACGAGCTTTCCTCTAGCATATCTTGATTTATTCAAGCGAATCAATGAGAAACTAGTGAATAAAATTACCTGACAGCCATAGTACAAGTTGGTATATCTACACCTTCTCTTACATTTGGCGCCACTAAAATGTTAATCTCCTTGTTTCTAAAAACGATCAAGTACTTATCTGTTCTTCTTATTAATCGGAAGTGATTCTACGGTGCTATTAAAAGAGTTTCCGTTATATCCCACAACGAAATCCGGCTTTATATGTCTGAACTCTGGTACATGTTCACTCAAATCTTTCAGTACATGGTGCAATATTTTTGGCAGTTGATCTTTCCTTCGTGAATATTAAACCACAAATGTCTTCGTTTGAAGATGAACTGTTGAAAAGTGTTACGTTTATATTAGTATTAATATTTATGACATTTACTTTTTTAAAATAGTTAAATACTACGATAAACTGGGAATGTGGGATGAAGCAGAAATGTTTCTGTAACCCAATTTAGGTATGTATAGCAAGTCTTACGCAAGACAATAATAAAAACAGATAGAATTCGAGGGCGATTCTTGGAAGAAAAATTCATAGTATTTCTAAGGCAACACCGACCGGAGTGCTATAATTTTAGCATACATTTACAGGTTATAGGTCTAATGATAAATAGAAAGTGATTAAAATTTTAACTTCAATTTTCGTAAAATAGCTGAGATATGCCATCTTGCAGCAGCCTGAAATGAAATACCCGACAGGTTACCCATCACCTGATAGTCTGTGGTTCTCGCCGCTAGATGACGCTACATACAAACGTCATCTGTCAAACGTTATGTGTATCATTGATAAGTGTGAGTTGTGTCTCTAAGCGCTAGATGGTGTCGATGTCGCACTGGTGTCGTAGAGTGACCCACATACAGGGGTCGATAGAAATTTTTGGGGCCCTACCGACGGGTCGATGAACCGACGGTATAACGTCAGATCGAAATAAGCTCCATTCACATGGGAGGTGTGTGTGGAATTGCTCGTGGGAGACACGGACCTTGTCGTATATAGCAAGACGTGTCCTAAAATGGTGATACCCATTGGTCGCTCAGCCATACAGGTCGGTCAGACAGAAGTTTTTGGGACCGGGGTGCTCTGATTGGTGGATCAGACGGCGGGAAATTTGAACGGTGTTGATGGTATAGCTGAATGGTGGACGGCGGGGTCGGGTGCGTTGGTAATCACCTATGTCGCAAATGAGGTTAGATAGATAGTCGTTCAGTGAAGGTGTTGTCGTAGCGGTGATATGCAAGAAGTACTGCTCGCGGGGGTGTCAACGAGTTAATATTGGCCAACGATAACAGCGGTGACCCTGGAACACTGTTGTCACACGGTTGCAAAAGATGACAGGTTATCTCTTAATTTTCGTAAACAACGATTTTTCTAAAGTGGTAAAAACAGGTCGAAATTTTAAATACCTATGAATCACCGCAAATTATCTTGTCAGTTATCTGCTGCGAACAAAACATGCTCAGCTCAGACTTATCTAAAAAGTGGTGGGAAAATCGATATTATAAAAATATTTATGAATCACCGCAAATTCTCTTAGACGTGCTCTTATCAGTTCAGACTTAGTTAAAACTGGTGGGTAAAATCGAGATTATAAATACCTATGAATCACCGCAAATTACCTTGTCAGTTATCTGCAGTGAACAGACGTGCTCAGTTCAGACTTAGCAATTCCCAACGCTCCTCCGTGGCCATTCCCCTTACCCTCTCGCGAGTGCGCGCATGCGCATGCGGCTCGTTCTGGTCTATAGACATATGATCGCTAATGATCTTGAACAAAGATGTCCTGATACACGAACCGCCAGAGGTACATCAGAAGTAATGTTAGTATTGTGTGTGCGTGTTTTTTGAACACGCTAAGTCGTGATGTACATCACGTGACGTACGTCACGTGACCTACGTGACGTGCGTGTGACAGGTGACGTACGTGTGACAGGTGACGTGCGTCACGTGACACGTGACGCACGTGGCACGTGACGTGCGTCACGTGACACTTGACGCACGTGGCGTACGTCACGTGACACGTGACGTGCACACTTTGTTCAAAAATACCAAAAAGCTGTCTTGATAGCCCGAACCGCCAGAGGTACAAACATCAGAAGTATGTTAGTGCGTGGTTGAGGTTCAAAAACTTAGCGTGTTCAAAAAAAAAACGTACCTAGACCAAAAGTCATTCTAGACCAGTCACTCTAGACCAAAGCACAAAAAAAACGCCGTTTTTCAACGCCTTTTTTGTCACCATTCCCCTTAGTAGCGCGCATGCACATGGGGCTCGTTCTGCTGGTGCTGGTGCTGGCGCGGGCGTAGATAGCGTTTGTGGTAAGGGTTGGGGGTAGGTCTTGTTCTCTTATCGCGCACGAGGTAAGTTTGTTTGTTGTGTACATAGGAAGAGTGTATTTACATACATTAATATCAATACTTTATTTTCTTAAATCCAAATGGTACAGAGGTATGATCTTCATAGAATTTCCTTTTCATTGAAGTTATCTTGTATACCTTAGGAAACTCGACTGTTACTACTGCATGCTCTCTTGTACGTCGTAGCTGTCGAGAAAGTACAGAAACAGGATCAGATTTCTTCAGCACCATGTCTTTTATTTTCTCAAAATTGACTACTTGGGATGCCTTGTAGTTGAGTGATATGCCTTTTACTTTACATACGATCTGTTCCTCTCCAGACAAAGTAGTATATTTGTAGGCGTAGTTCTTAGGTCCTCCAGAAACAAACTCTGATATGAAACCCCATTGAGCTCATCGGTCATAATCACCTATGAAGTCGCCTGTAGATATGTCGTTTAATCCCTTACGAGAGATATAAATACATGAATCTGTATCTACGTAACTGCCCTTTCTTCCACTTTCTCCAAGAATGAATATATTTTAGTCTAGCTAGGGCCGTGACATATGAGCCAATACAACGTTAACCGTTGAAGAAACGTCATAGGCCTCTTCTCTAAATTCCCAAGTTATGAGAAGGTTTCTTCTTCCTTACCGGGAGAACTGTATTTACATGAGATAGAAGGATAGTCAGCATATCAAAGAATCACCACAGTCTCTGACTATTGAGGTTTTGTTTTGGTTTTCTTTTTGAGCAAATTTACCCCAAAAGGAATTCAGCATAAGTTTAGCTAACGATCTCAAACAGGGGTTCCTCTATAATTTTTGAAAATTCCAGCTTTAGTCTTCTCTATCCAAAAATGCATCAATATAACGGTTTTTTCTTCATCCGTTAAGCAATGTTTGGGCCATCCTGAACCTTGTTGTTTTATTAGAAACTTGTTCATCATTCCGCTAAATAACCCCTCTGGTCTTTACTGAGCTGAATTGTATCGTATTCCCATATTCGTAGTCTCTATAATCTGGTAACCTTTTTCAATAGCTTTGAGCACCTCTTCTATCACCCAAGTTCCTTTTAGGCTTCTTTCTTGAATAGAATGCTGACACTCTTCTCGAACGAAATCTTCACCACATTTTTGACAGTTAACAAACATCAATTGTTGTTCATTTTGACGGTAAAACGGGTGATATAAGTTCTGGTTCGGTAGAATCTGGCATTTAATAAGTCCTGACAT